TCTTCCAAGTGCAAGATAACCCCAAGGGGTTGTGGGGTTTTTTCTCCCAATTGGGGCCCTCCCTTCACCACCCCTATGGGGATGGTCTACAGGGTTCATAACTACTCCTCTTACTACATGACGCTTACCTAGCCAACGCTTAGATCCGGCTCTACCCAACCTTTTCTGGTTCACTCCAACATTCCCCACTTGTCCAACTGTTGCTGAGCAGTTTTTGGATATCAAACGGACCTCCCCATAAGGTAATTTTAATGTGGCCGATTTCCCTTCTTTTGCAATCAGTTTCGCTACAGCACCCGCTGCTCTAGCTAATTGTCCACCCCTTCCAAGTGTGATTTCTATGTTATGTATGGCCGTGCCTAAGGGCATATCGGTCAAAGGTAGGGCATTTCCCATTTTTATAGGAACTTCTGTACCAGAAACAATGGTATCTCCAATTATAGCCCCTCTGGGATGTAAAATATATCTCTTCTCGCCATCCCCATAGTGTATGAGACAAATGTATGCATTTCGATTAGGGTCGTATTCTATGGTTACGATTCTACCATATATGTCTTTTTCATTCCGTCTTTTACGGTATAGACGCCATGGGGCTGGGTTGGCTGGTTTGGGAAATCAAACAAACCAGGTTTATGGTGCGCTTTCTTCGAACGGGTTTCAAGCAGTGCCCTCAGACTTATTCTTTATTGGAAAGAATTATTTGGTACAGAACTGTTTTAGTTGTTACATGGAGGCTGCATCGTCTAGTGCGGCTTCATGATAAAGAGAAAAAGCGTAAAAAGGAAAAAAGATAGTCGAAGGAAAGGATCAGTCAATAAGAACGAAGTAGGAAAAAACGGATCAAAGAGTAGACAGGCCATTTATGATTCCAGCCTAGAAGACTAGTTAAGGGAAGGAGCAAGAATGACATTATTCACACAAAGCATCAAGCAATTAATTCTCTTGCATAGCTTTCTCTCTCTACACATTGTACTGACTTTAGCATCGGAGGGACCTTCCTCGGCAACACCCCCGAGGCTAGTTTACGTGTGTTTGCTGTGCAGGAAACCTTCGCCCCAACATCACTTGGACCGAATCCAGTCTTCACCACTTCATCGGACCTTCGGCAAGGTACCATTGTTTTCACCCGAAATAGTCCGTATTACATACGGGTCTATTGTCGTTTAATCACAAACTGAAACACAATCATAGTAATGATCCTTGTTCCATTTTAGTATATAGTCTTACTTTTGTAATGTTATTGTTGAGATTTTTACCCATTTAGCTAGCTCGATTTCTTTTTGTAATGTTCGCCGAAAAAATAGTTTTTTTAAAAAAAAAAAAAATTGTGTCTAAACAGCCACAAGGGAAATTGATGATAATCAATCCGCAGAATCCTCTGAAATCGGGACGGAATAAAACTCTAACCTCGTAGTTTCGTTATCACTCTTTACAAGCTACCGATCGATGATATTTGTGTTGGTCAAATAAAAAGACTTCTATAGAGATCAATAAAGCTAGTGTAGTATTCAGTATTGTAACATATTCCTATGTGTTAGAGGACCATCTCAACCAAAAGCTGGCTTGAAATGTGGATGCAACACAGGCCCACCCATACCTGGTGCAAATTAATTCCACTTTGAAGGAGGGGCGGATGAGATTCGAATCCGTGACCTTTGTGTCACGCTGGCTCTGATACCATGTTAAAGGACCAACTCAACCAAAAGCTTAAACTGATGGTTGAGGCCCAGGAATATGTTTTATACTCCATCACGCCCCCTCACACGAGAGCCCGTTTGGGCTAGAAGTGTGGATGCAATATGGGCCCTCCTCATACCTAGCGCTTAATATTCCACTTGAAAGTGGGGGGTGGATGAGATTCGAACCCGAGACCTTTATGTCATGTTGGCTCTGATACCATGTTAAAGGACCATCTCAACCAAAAGCTTAAACTAATGGTTGAGGCCCAAGAATATGTTTTATACTCTATCACTATGTATTATGTACTAAGGGCTTGTTCACATATACTGAACTGATTGGAGCTGAATTGAACTGAACTAAACTGATTGGAGCTGAACTGAACTAAACTGATTGGAGCTGAACTGAACTGAACTGAACTAAACTGAAATTAAGTAAATGTGAACAGGCCTAAGTAGAAATGAGTTTTGGTAGGATTCTACATTTAATTGATGCTATTTAGGTAAAACTTTCCAATTCCAAGTATATTAACAGCATGTCACATGCAACATTGCTGATCTACCTTACCGAAAGAAAGTTGGAAAAATTAGGACGACGACAAAGTCAAAGACCTTGAAACAAACATCATCACGTAATTTTTTGTAATTGATTAGCTAATCATGCTGAAAATTCATTTATCTATTTATAATATTCTACCTGATTGATAAACTGATAAATCATGCGTCCTACCCTTTAATTAATTTCTACAAATTATTTTGAAATGAATTTTCAGCAATGCTAAATAAATGAAAAGGTAGATAGAAAAAAATGACAAAAAATTGCTTCTTCCACCATTTTCAAAGAATTGGTTTACTAAACAAATACAAGTAATGAAAATGGTTATGTCACAACTTATTTTAGATAATTTCGAAAAAAAATATGGAGTAGTAATTGAACGAGAAATGAAGACGGATGCTTTTAATTATGCCACGACATGGTGAATTGTAGGACTAACACTTTTTTTGAAAAACATTTGTAGGACTAACACTTAATAATCAATAAAAAAAATAAAAAATAAATTATATTACTCCCATTTTTGACTGAAAAGTCAACAAAATTGAACTGTATCGAAATTGGAAATTAATTGCGCTGACCTAAGCTTAAGCCATACTTGGACTAGCTTCTATACAAAAAGATTAAAAATATACACGGATTTAGTAAAACATGGCCCTTATAGTCCTATGTTCAGAATTTCCTAAACTGGCACAAAGGAAGAGAGGTACAAAGTAGGGCTGGCAATCCCTAACCCGATCCGATAACCCAATTCGAAACTGACCTGAAGTTACTGAGAGAAAATCGAACTTGACCCGATCCGCACGCGAACAACCCTAATTCGATCCGATTTTACAAAAATTTCATATTTCGTAATAATATTAAGTTTTACATAATTTTGGTTGTTTCTAAGCATAACCCGAAATCGACCCGAAATTTGACCCGAACCAGACCTGCTGATCCGAAATGCCACCCCTAGTACAAAGTACTCTTGCCATATTACTACACATACCATCGATCTTTTATTTTTATTAATTTTTAAGATACGGGGAAATTCCCCTCCTATCACAAGAGGGGGGATGAGGAATAGAAGAGTCGAATCCAGGTTACACTGGAGGAGATGGAGGGACTAACCATCCCTATGTAACACTTAAAAATAAAATCATGGGGATATCATTTTTTTTTATTCAAGTAAAAATAAATTTCAAACACCTTATGGCTAACACAAAGTCTTATATGTGGCTGGCCACACCGTGTGACAGCGGTTACTTCGTTAGTGTAATAGGGGTTACTTGTCAGTGTTAAAGAGGTTACTTCGTCAGTGCTGTAGAATTACTCGATTAGTGTTATAGGGGTTACTCAATTAGTATTACAAGAGTTACTTGATCAGTTTCATATGTGTTACTTTGTTCTTTTATAAGTGGTCACACGGTATGGCTAGCCGCACACAAAATGAGGTGGTTACTTTGTTATTTTATAAGCGACCACATGCTGTGGTCAACTGTACATAAAAAGTGTTGTTTATATTAGCTCAACTTAATTATCTTAAAAGAGGACAATAAAATGATGACTATAGCCCATGCCCATCACGTCGTTATGTTATTACTCTTATTAGCGTGTGTTAATGTGTGCCTTGTGAAACAATGTCGTTTTAAATCAAACTAATTAATTTTTTTTTTTTTGAGGAACTAATTAATTAATGATCCACATTATATCTTAATACTTTATTTTCTACAAATTTCTGAATAGTCAAAAAATCTTGATCCACCAAAACGGCTACTGACGTCAAGAATTGGCCGTTCTAATATCGTAAAGGTCTTGTTGGAAAAAGACGTAGTAATCCAGTATGTTGCCAGGATGGCAGAGATCAAAAAGATTATTCAAGGGCTAATTTTTAATTATTTTTGTAATGTTATTCAATAGTTAGCATCAAGATAATTTTTTTTTATAACACATAAAAGACGATAGCATCAAGATAATTGGAAGTTATAATAATGGAAAGGTAGCATTCATATCAATATATTATTCATAATACCCTCATGTTTTTAGAACTTTAATTCCATTAAAAATGTACATTCTAAATTAAACAATAATTAAATCATAGAATTGGTGTTTTTGTGACCTAGCTAGGACAAAAAGAAATTTTATTTAATGGCAAAAGAGCATGTAATGTTGATTGCTTAACAAATGATTTTTACCTTTGCGTATTAAATTACTTTTAGGCTTTTAGATATTTATAACTACCTTAGGGTATTAAGCTACTTTATTTTAGTCTTTCAGACATTTATAGATTATAACTATCTTAGGATATTAAACAACTAACATAAGATTCAATTCCCCTACAAAAAAATTAATTTAGAAAACAAAGAAAAATTGATTCTAATAATCTCACCTTTGGTTGGTACGCGGATAATAATCCTACTTATAGATTGTCATATGCAAGTAATTGTTTTTTTAGCGTTTAGAGAGCTACAAGGACGGGGTAAAAATTGATCCCATAATCTCTTGGAATCGGGAGGGAAGATCTTAGCGCTTGAGTTATCCTTCACTCTCATATGCAAGTAATTGCGGGGAGGGTGATTTACAACTTATTTTTCACAGGAAAAAAAACAAAAAAACGATAAAAAAAATTCAATATAGGAAGGAACAGATTAATACAGTGATTACAGTCTACTTCCATTTAAAAAAATATATAAAAAATTATTGAGTCTACCAAGACTGGAGTAAAATTCACAGTATGAAGGAATTGGCCCAATGGGGCATGAACAAATGGACAACTTTAATCCCACATCGCCACCCATATGAACATGTAAGTCTTGTATACAATAGGTGTACAATATACAACAATCTTGGTCACTCGCCCATTCTAAATCATATAAAAATCACCCCTTTTACAAAGTCAACTTTTATGCGATTTTAAGCGTGATGTATACAAAATACAGTACACCTATTGTATACAAGTAAATGCCTATAGTTTCATGAACATCACTAAAAGGCTATTCACATTTTCTTCAGAAGTTTAAGAAGCCAACATTTTCTCAATGGCAGCCACGTAGAATTCCTTAGGCATGGTGCCGATGACACTATCTTGTTTCATTCCATTTTTGAACAAAAGAACCACTGGAACGGCTTTAGTATCATGTTCTTCCGCGATTTCAAAATCATTGTCAGTGTTGAGTACAAAGCAATCGAGTCTCCCCTTGTATTCCACAGCAATTTCATCGATAACTCGGTGAACCATCTGACAGGGCCCGCACCAACTTGCGTAGAACTCAACAAGAACTGGAGATTCATTTTTCAAAACCAGTTTGTCCCAAGACTTCTGTGTTACTGTTGCAGCTGCACCACATACATTCGAATGAAAAAAGGTGAAATTTCAACCACATCAGTGTAATTTCAACAAGTCTGGGGTCTGGCATGAGCTTCACAGCATACAATGAAGCAAACTGCCAAACTCCACATCCTTTAAACATTACAACTTTACAAGAAGTTCCAAAGTTACATTTAAACCACTGAAAGCAAAAGTGCAAAGAAAATATTCAGCATGGCAAACCATGAAATTGTCCATTGGATGGCTATTGTTTTACCAATTTGCGTCTGTCAATTTTAAAATCAAGTTCAACTTCAATATTACTATGTTCCCAATCTTAAGACTTGCTGAGAAACCTTAGCCCACTTACAGTGGAGTAGAGATCAACTCATGAAATGAAGCTCTCAAACAAGGCCTAAGAGCTGAAGTCAGTCAAAGAGGCTTTCTTGACATAGCACAACCAGTTAGTCTTTAGTTGGAATTATGTGCCAAAAGCAACATTTATGTTAATCTGTGCATGTACTTTCAGTTAATTACTCAGCATACTTACTCGAGTGCAAAGGTAGTAGTATCTTCTTGAGGCTTTATCTTCAAAATGGGTCGTTTAATTCAGGTACCTAATAACTCAATTCAAGATGGCTAAGCAAGCATTCAATTTGGGGTTGAAATGTCGAAATAGGTCACTTTTGGGTTTGTGGACAGCTAGCTTAGTATGGAATTAAATTGATTTCAAGTCGGCTCAATTTCGAGTCATGCCAGTACCAAGTCATCCAGTTTCAGAAATGGGTCAGGTCAGTTTTGCCAGCCCCTGCAGCTCCCATTTCCAATACTACTTTCTGCTTTTGTATTGAAGTTTCAAAGCATCAATCAATCAATCATCACTAAGTTCTACAATAACATTGCCCTGCATGCCCAGAGGCGAACTGCTCAAGAAGAACAAACAATTGTTGCTCATGGCTCCTGTCTAAGAGGCATATCATGTTATAAGACTACAGCAGGTTTCCTAGTTCTTCCTAGGTCCAAAGACTCCAAACACTGGCATAGCCAGAAGCACAGACGATACTAAGACCTTATAGCTCACAGCTTAATCCCTTTGAATCAAGGGCGTGACAAAAATAAATATACTGTGACCAGATTTTATTTTGCAGCAGGTCCCTTATGAACAACAACTCATCGGTTTCATTATTGCACTTAGCTCAGATAAGCCCACTAACGTACTCCACGCCCAATCTAATATTCTAACCATCAGGTAAACGTCCTTAGTCCTCATCAGCTGCCTAATTTTGGTCCAAGTTTGGTAATTTTAACTGTAGATTAGCTAAATACAGCGTATGTTGTATTGATAGCATTGCATTAACTCTGAAAATTACACTTTTAAAGATAAAATTACAGCAATGGCTAACTTTGATTATTTTTAGTTCATGTAGCCAACCCCACTTATGGGATTAAGGCTTTGATTGATTGATTGAATGGCTAACTTTGATCTTGGAAAACCATAAAAAGGCAACTGAGGCATCTAAGTGGGGCGCAGGGAGTAGCTAAAAGCTTTAACTTGTAGTTGAAACAAGGATGATATAGGAAAACATAGCTGTAGATGAGAGATATGTGGGGTAAGTACTTACTCTTGGGGTGGCGTGAACAGACTACTGAAGGGCGTCGTGTAGCTCTGAGAAGCCCTATGTGATTTCGCTGGTGATTTCGATGGTGTAGAGACAGGAAAGACAAGGCTCGCAGTAGAGACACTCCCTGACTTTCATATGCAATTGGAAATCTGCCTTTTTGTAGCTGGATACCATGACAGCAATCTGAATATGACATAAAGGCTATAGAGGCTGCTGATGCCATTTAGGAATGATGATCAAACCTGAAAAGCACGCTTAATTTTAATTCCAGTTTAAAGTCTGCAATGATATTGAAAAACGAAACAACACAGCCCAAATCATAGATTAAACCTTATGAGGCATCAAGTTTAAACTTACCAAAAAAAGTTACACAAGATCACAGTAAAGATAAGTGACACAGATATCATCAAATAATCAAAGAAATCTTTTAAACCTGAAAATCCAATTTTCTTCTATAGTTCTGAGCTTTAAGTCATCAAAATTATGTTTGTATTTCTGAAGCTCATCAGCCTAATACTCAAATCCAAGTTTTAGTCTAGGAAACTTAATTAGGTTTTTCCCAAGTCACAAAAACCAACCTAGTTTCAAACATATATAGACCATTCACCACATCTTTATTGAACTAATATATGAGGTATCCCAGTACAGCTTCAACAACGAGACATACAAGCTACTGCTCCCCCCCCCCCCCTTTATTCAGAATTCATGTCAATATACACCCCTCCCAAGTCACAAAAACCAACCTAGTTTCAAACATATATATAGGAAAGAAACTTGACATATATTACCTCCGTTTTTTTAGTGACACCATTTGACTTTTACACTATTTATGCAATACACTTTAATATCTAATTTTTATAATTTTACAATGTTGATAATTAGTGATATTATAAGTGCTAAATAGATAAGCATAATAATAGAAAAGTGTCAACTAAAAAAACGAAAGTAATATCTCAAAGGGTTAAATTTGTCATTTCATCCAATAAAATGGGGGTATTAATGTATTTCTCATATTTTCTCTTGTAAAAGAGTAGTCCATTGTTAGAAGAACAGTAGAAAGGGGAGAAAGAGATGAAGAAATCAAAGACAATGGCAGTTATAATCGGAGGGATGGTGTTTGATATTCATGCTACTGCTTCAATTCCTGCTATTGCCAAAACCACCACTCCGGGCAAGGTTTGGGTTTTTTTTTTTTTTAAAAAAAAAAGCTCTAAATATGGAATTGGTTTTTTAATTTTCATTATTCCGAAGTATGTAATATATGGATTTTTTTTTTTTTTTTTTCTGATTATACTTTACTTTTGTCAGAAATTTGTGATAATTGCTTCAGTTGCCACATTTTTCAGGCTTTGATTTGGTGGGGTTGAGATGATTGATTGGGTAATAAAGTGTAATGATGATAAATCCCTTGTTTATCATGACTTGGGTGATATTTATTTGTTTTGTTTGTTCAATCTATAAATCATGCTTAGGCTGATGTGTTTGCTGATTCTTAAAACTAATTGATTGTATAAATTTTAATAGCTTCAGAGGTTGGATTGTATTATTTGTTGTTATTTCTTTATTTATTTGAGATATTTGTTGATAAAAAATTCTGTCTAATATGAAGTATCAAGAAACAAGCACCTCGATTAGTAGAATAACAAATTAAGAAAAACTGTTGTCAAACTGTTGTCAAATCCTAGTCTAATTCAATGCCAACTATTTTTCTTGTTAGTAAGTGGAATTATTTGTGTTTTCTGAATTTGGGCTGAATTGAAATCAATGACATGAAAGAAATGCTGGTTCTAAAGCATATTTCTTATTTCTCTGCAGGTTGAATTTATGCTTGGAGGTGTAGCAAGAAATATTGCCGAGTGCCTGCTAAAGCTCGGAACAGAATCGTTCATGATCAGTGCTCTGGGATGTGACCTGGCAGGTGCTTTTCTATTTTTATGATGTTGCATCTTGATTTCAATTGTGCTATAACCTGATGGCATTTCTTGCATATGCTAAATGACTGTATGCAGTAATGCAGTTGGTTGTGTTGTTTTATCAATAAAGGCCAAGTTTGTACAAAAATTTGGCTCTACCAAATACCAAATCTCTCAATAAATGCTGTCTAATTATCTTTAAAGAACACAAAAATTTAGTACTTAGTAGTTAGTTCCAATTCCACTTCTGCTTGTCAAAAAGCTAGGTTATAGCTTGTAAGTGTGTTAATGAGACATGATTTATCATATAGATTAATCTAGTTCTTATAGGATCTATACGTCAGATTATGCCAAAAATGACATTGTTTGCTAAACAGGAGACTTGTTGTTGGAACAATGGAGATCTGCAGGGTTACCGACGGAAGGTAAGATTCTAAGCATCAACTATGTACCTTATTATAGTATTATAGATGATACTAGTGCCTTTCATAGTCTCATGAGGCTGTTGTTTAAAAAAAAAAAAAAAAAAAAAAAAAAAAAAAAAAAAAAAAAAAAAGCCTTTCTCTTGGCCCTTGTTTGGAAATTTGTTGGCTGAAATACTACTTTGCAACAAATAAGTAGAGGGTAATTCTTGCGATACATTTGAATTTTTTATTACTATAGAAAGTAGCAAAGCCACTTGGTATTCAACACTCTTTAAGATAGTTTTACTACCTGCCTGTCTCAAGGCCATTGGGCATAACCACTAATCAACATCATCTACATAGAAGCATCCTTGGAAACCTAAGTTAGATATTACTCCATAGAATTTTTATTTTTTATTTTTTTAATTTATTCACAGTTTCCAACTAATGCTGTAAAGGATAGAAAGAAAATCATACCTTTCCCCTTGTAATATGTATGATCACATTGAATAGGTATACAGCGAGGCCCAGACATTACGACTGCTTCTGTATGCAACATGTTTGATGTTAATGGAGATTTGACATCAGGTGTTGCCAGTGTGGAATCAATTGTGAGTGAGTATTCATCATTTGTACCTTGATATGTGTATGTCCAGTTCTGACATGGCTTTGCTAAGTTACATGTTTAACAATTTTCTATTTGGAACTTCGCTACATCAAGGAACTTAAGAGCTAAAGTATCTTAATGCATAAAATTCAGGAAAGATGTGTTACTCCTCAGTGGATCCAGCAATTCAAGTCCATTGTACATTCTGCTCCCTTGATGATGGTTGATGCTAATTTGAACACTGACGCTCTGGAGGCTTCTTGTAGAAGTAAGTCTACCTATCTCCATTGTATCCCACAGGGTAGTGAGCTTCTAAATTTTGTATTTCCTCGTTACGCATATCAAACTAAGACTTGGTCGTTACCAAACATATTATCTCATGTCCTGGCCTATTCATTGGTATTGCTGAGGAAGATATTCTTTCTCATTCTACTTTTTGCAGCCAACTTGCATTTTAGTGTGTCATATATTTTCTCTGTTTTCTTAAATTTCCTTCTCTTTGGTTTAGGATGTCTATTTAAGCGGTCACATTCCTTGTATGAGTAACAATTGATTTATGTTTCTGATGTTTTTCTTGAGGCTATTAGTTACTGACAATCATCTATAGGTTTTAGGCATTTGAAATCATCTATAAATTACTGACAATCATGCCCAAATGAAAGAGAAGGAATCCAAAGTTATATACAATCATCTATAGGTTTTAGGCATCAGAAATCCAAATTACAGATTAATTTTATGATGTCTTTGTGTTTGTTACTTGCTGAGATAGTAGAGATGCTTCCAAGTTTACATGGGTTTCTCTATTCTTCATTTGTCGAGATTTTTCTTTGTAAATTTTGCTTCTTTTCCGTTTTTCTTTTCTAAATTTTGGATTCTTGACATGACCTTTTAAATACATTCCTCGATGGTTGTTTCAGCATCTTATTTTCCTCAAGCTTATGTGAATTCTACATTTCAGTGGCCGCTGCTTTTGATGTTCCAGTATGGGTTGAGCCTGTTTCAGTTGCAAAATCAAAAAGAGTTGCTGCAATTGCCAACTATGTGAGTATATAATATCTTTGCTCTAATACAGTTAGTTGACATTGAATAGGGGGACGTTGTATGATTTGGAATTAAACCAGATACAAATATACTGCTGGATCAAAAAAAGTGGTAGACATCAAAACTCTAGATCTAAGTCCTCTAACTTTGAAATGATGCTTCTTAAATCAATATACTACTGGAATAAGAGGTACTCACTAGTTAAAAGGTATTGCGAAGTATAAATCACTGTCATGCTACCCTCTGCCAAGAAATGTCTTTTTCTTACATTGCTTCTTCAATCTTTGTAATAATTGAGTTTATTCTTTGATTATAACCAGAATTTGGTCCCATGGTAATTAGCTGTCTTACAAATTACATACATTTGTGCTCTAGTTCCTTGACTTGAACAGCTTTATCCTTTTTACAGATTACTTTTGCTTCTCCCAATGAGCATGAACTAGTTGCGATGGCAAATTCTTTGTCTAATGAAAATCGATTTAGCCCTATCCAGAGGGATCAAAACAAAACTTCAGTAGAGTCCTTGTTCAAGGAGCTGAAACCTGCAATTATAGTTTTGCTGCAAAAAGGTATCAAGTATGTGCTAGTGACGCTTGGACCTGATGGTGCATTCCTATGTTCTGGAAGTGGGCCTTCAGGTTTAAGAGAATGCTTGAAGAGCACAAAAGTTTTTAATGGAAAGAGACAAATATTTGATATGGTGAACAGTAGATGCTCTACACATCAATATTTATACCCTACGCCTTATAAAGGAGGTTCTCGGCTATTTGCAATGCATTTTCCTGCACTTCCTGCAGCAGTTGGGAGAGTTAGTGGTGCTGGAGATTGTTTAGTTGGTGGGGTGCTTGCATCATTATGTGCAGGTTTGGATGTCATGCAGAGTGTAGCTGTTGGTGTTTCTGCTGCTAAGGTAGCCATTGAAGTGAAAACCAATGTGCCTGACATCTATAATTTAACAGCAATTGCAGGTACAAGCCACTGACGAACTAACCTGCCTATCTAACTCCCACCACCCTGAACTCAATTTTTCTGTTTTGGTAAAGTGACATATAGAGGAAGTCTGGGGGTACCTCTCACACTTCTTTCTTTTTTTACTCACCAATTTTAGATTTGTCAAACATGAAGTCAGATATATAAAGAGAAAAAGATATTTTTTGCAACTTTTCTCTTAGATCCTAGAAACATTGGTTTTAGACTTTTTCTTCTTTTCCCTAGTTCCTCTTTGTAAGATGACTAGGGTTCTCATGTTATATTTGACCTTTGTTTATTAAGCTTGCTCTCGATATTAATGTTTTTAATGACTAGGTTACATTCTGATTTCGTCTTTCAAGCTCGTTCTCGACATTGAAGCTGAAACTTATTAACTTATTACAATGGCTTTTTCTGTGGACCAAAATTTTCTGATTTTACGAGGAATGTATTATCTTTTTATCAGTAGTCATAGGATCATAGTTTCAGATGAATAGTCTTACATGACCAAATTAACTGAACACAAGTTCTCGTGTACTTTAATCTTGAAGGTTTTGAGGAAAATCATAGAACTTTTATGTTGCCTGGATTATTATTGTGCCTTTATAAAAACGTTGATGTATATCTCTGCTAATGCAGATGATGCAGGTGCAGTATACAAAGCTGCGAAAGTCGTGTTCCAAGAATCTATGCTGTGAAACTCTCAGAGATGATCGACCCGTTGGTTAACGGATTCAACAGATTTTAGATTGAAAATTTTGGTATTGCAAGCCACTTAAGCCTTTTTGGCGTGAGATCAGGGCTTGGATTTGGTAAAACCTCCATGCAGGTAGGTGCTAGTGCTGGGAAAGGCTGGGTTAATGTACATGAGATTTTGATACGAATTTCATTGGGCTAATATAATTGGTTTGTTAATTTGGGACGGCTTTAAATGTGGCATATTGTTTAGGTCCGAAGGGAATGTGATACACTGTTGTTTTTCTTCCTTTCCCCTCTCGATTAACCTTGTAATTACAGTGTGACTGTTTAAGGTAACAGGGAAATTTTTTTATGTGGTTTACAAAACTTGCAATTTAATCACTGCACTTTTATTTTTGATAGATATTTGGCTTGTAATATAGTATGGCACAACATGTCATGCAATTCATCATTGAGATTTGAGAATGCTTGGTAGTTTAAGACATCTCAAAGGTCATGCTATATTGATATAAAAATATTGGTATACTTTGTATATGATGGTTTCAAATTTTCTTCTACAACTAATCATAATTTAAGCACAATGAATATCGAAACTAAAAAAGTGTTGCATATATCATTCCACATTCTCGCACGGCAAATTACTGCGCCGTATTCTTTCTACTTCGTATTTTTTTTGGGTGCAAATGCACGGCAAATTCCAGCCTTGTCTTTCCCCCTAGATTCATTCCATTATATTTTAAATATATTTTCTCCGTCTTTTTAATTGATACTGTTTGACTTTTACACTATTCACAAAACATGCTTTCATTGCTTTGACTCGATTTTGTGGCTTATACATACAATAAAACATATTCATATGGGATCTTGTTTGAATCGTTTCTATGTATATTTCATTAATATCCACTTTTTATAATTTTACAATGTTGATAATTAGAAATATTAATCATTAAAAACATGCGTTGGCAACTTTGAAATATTTTAATTTTCTATTTTATATCTCATAAATTATACCCAAAATTGCAACTACTTCCTCTATTTTTTTTACTTGACCTGTTTCTTTTATCATGCTTGCCAATGCAAAACTTTAATGATCAATAACTTAAATTTTCCATAAGTAAAAATTATAACAGTTATATATTATGATATTACTTATTTAGACAAATCCAAAAATATCATACATGAATATATTTTTCCTTACATATTATTCACAAAAGACGGTCAAAGAATGGGTGGTGAATAATGTAAAAGTCAAAGCGGGTCAAGTAATAAAGAACGGAGGAAGTAATATTTAACGAAGGTGCTACAAAGTATATACGTTTGTAACTTTGTATATACTTTTGCTACTTTTCATACGCCTGCTTAAAAATTAAATTTTCCAATAAAATATGATCCCAATAATTAATAAAGCCTTAGACTTAAATGATAATTAATGTCTAATAGTTTAAAAACTAGATGAATCTCGTGCCATGTACAATTTGTTTGTATTTTTCTTAAAATAATTTTGTGAAAATTTTAATTATGTGATAAAATTTGCTATTGTATTTTATGTGCGATTTAATATTTTTATTTTAAAACATTTTGTAAATTTCCTCTCATTCATTATTTACTTATATGTTTAGATTAAATTTCTATTTTAAAAGTTAATATTTTACATTTAATTAATTTAAACTTTAAAATCTCATTCGCCAATTTTACTTGTGTGGCATTTGAATTACTTAATTTTAAAAGGAAATTATAAATTTCTTATTTAATAAGATATAACTAAAATTTATAATTCTACCCGACGCGTTAACAAATTTTAATCCTACATGGAGCTCTAAAAAACTCGAAAAAAAAAAACCTCTCTCCCCGACGGTTAAATATGCTCATAGACATACAATATCATATCGGTTAAATTAAATAGCAATATGAGTTAATGTATTACATATTAAAAAGCAATATCTTAAAAAACAAAATTATCTCAAAAGTGATGGAACCACCCTCCCTCAAACCTACCTAAACCTGGCAAACAAGTCATTCAGGTCGGGTTCAGGTAGGGTCAAGTTCGGGTCAGTAAATGTTCGGGTCGGGTTCGGGTCGAGTCGGGTTGATTCGGGTTTCGGGTCAGCACATCGGGTCAAGTTCGGGTTAGGTCAAGTTCAGGTCATGTCAATTCGGGTCAGGTCTGTTCGGGTCGAGTCAATTTTTAAGATCAATTTTCGGGTCAATTTTGGGCCGGGTCAAATTCGGATCGAGTCAATTCGAATCGGGACTATTCGGGTCAAGTTTGTGTGGGGTCACCAAAATAAATTCACTTAAAAAATAGTTAGAAAAATAAAGTAAAATCGTTAAAAAAAATAAAAAAAAATTAATAAATCATGAGTACCTATTACGTAGGAAAGAAAGAAGCCCTATACTAAGTAATTCACTATTTCACCCTATTCACTTAGGATTCGGGTCAATTCGGGTCGGGACGATTCAATTCAATCAATTTGGTTTAAAATCAAGTCGGGTCACTTTAGGTTTCGGGTCAATTTCGAGTCAGGTCATTCGGGTCGGGTCACTTCGGGTCATCGGGTCATGTTCGGGTCAACTCTATTTCGGGTCGGGTTCGAATCGAGTCGGTTTAGTTCGGGTTCGGGTCAATTATTTCGGGTCAACTTTTGCGTTACGGGTCAGGTCATTCGGATCGGGTCAATCAGGTTAGGTCAGGATTGCTAGGTCTAAACCTACCTGACTCAAGTCAAAGTTATGTGATCGATCACCATCCACATTCCTGGCCGCACTCCCACTCCTACCCCACCACCACCACCGCAGCCGCGGCCTGATTCAGCTGCACCACCGCCGCCGCGGCCTGATTGACCTGCACTACCGTCGTCAACACTCTCCGACACTATCTTTGAATTCGCTTGAGTACTAGTCGCTGCCGCTGCCAGTGTTACTTTCAATTGGCTTTATATATATATATATATATATATATATATATATATATATATATATATATATATATATATATATATATATAGCTGTCAATTCGGGTAAATGGGTCGGGTTTGAGTCGGGTTAGTGTGGGTCGGGTCATCTCGGGTCGGGTCAGTACGGGTTAATAACGGGACCTATGCGGGTCGGGTTCGGGTTAACGTTGGGTCATGCTTGAGTCGGGTCACGTCGGGTCATACATCTTATCGGGTTTGGGTCGGGTTTAGGTCGGGTCAATAAAAGGTCGGGTTACATTCGGGTCGGGTGAAAAACAGGTCGGGTTACATTCGGGTTTTTACGGGTTTAAACGAGTTAGGGTCCTGTTCGGGTTCGAGTCAGGTTCGGTTCAAGTCAATTATTTGCGGGTTATAATCATGTCGGGTCATTATCGGGTTCGAGTCGGGTTCGGTTCAAGTCAATAATTTGCGGGTTATAATCACGTCGGGTCATTTCCTAGTCGGGTCATTCTCGGGTTCGAGTCAGGTTCGTTTCAAGTCAATAAAACTTTAAAAAAAAAAATTTAAAGCTCCAAATCAAATTGCATGATTTAAAACATTTTAAAAAATATTAAAATAAACAAGTGAATACTAAAATTTGAAAAAAAGGATCAATAAAAGGATTATAAGTAGTTATATGGAAGTTATTTTTGAAGATAAATTTAGGAAAAAATAAAATCATTTGGCTGATTTAATTAGACAGAAGCACTATCATCGATTCACCTCACTCACCTCATATAGCCTCAAATACGTTTAAATTCAGGTTAGTAATAGGTCGAGTTTAAATTCGGGTCGGGGCAATAACAAGTCGGGTTGAATTTGGGTCGGATCAATAACAAGTCGGGTTGATTTCGGGTCGGGTTTGTAACAGGTCGGGTTTAAATTCGAGTCGGGTTAGGAACGGGTCGGATTGACCTCGGGTCGGGTTAGTAACAGGTCGGGTTGAATTCGGGTTTTAACGGGTTAAATCGGGTTTGGGTCATTCTCGGGTTCGGTTCAGGTCAATAATTTACGGGTCACATTCGGGTCGGGTCCTCTCTAGGTCGGGTTATGGTCGGGTTCGGGTCTCAAATACTCGGGCCAACTCGGGTCCAGGGTTAGTTTCAGATCGGGTTAGGTCGGGTTCGGGTCACCATTTTTTTCGGGTTCAGACGGGTTAGGGTTAGGGTCGGGTTAGGGTTCGGGTCAGGTTAGGGTCGGTATTTAGGGTCGGTATATATATATTCACGTAATTTGTTAATTCATAAATAATTTTTATATGATTTGTTTATGTTATTTGAATCCATTTGTAAAAAAAATGCTTTACAAATGTAGAACACTTTTATACTGTGCACACCTCATATTTGTAATAATGATACTTGGCATAATTGTTCACAATTGTTGTAATAGTTGCATTCTGATAAGTGATGTAGATGCTGACAATTTGGATTTCTTTTTCGAACAAAAAAAACTTACATATTCCACAAACAGTCGTCATCTACACATAGAAAAAACATATTGTAATAGATTTAACATAACCTTAGTGATAACCGCAAATGATTAACATCTAGATGGTCAATTTGATATGAAAATTATATATAGAAATCAGCAAATTAGGCTCATAATCACGCAATACAATTTCACATTATGATTCTTAGTAATTAGAACCAATTATGTTTCTTTTTTTTGCTGATAACTTTTGTTTCTACCTAGAGAGAAAAATGGACGGAGAATTTAAGTCAACCATTGTTTACATGTTTTGGGCTTTTTAAATCGAATTTTATGATGGAAATAGAACCGAGTTATAGGATATTTATTAAAAATTACGATAATTTTGTATATATGAAATATCAAAAGTAAATCGATAATAAAACTCTACCACAATTTTATCATAAAAATCTATCTAAAATTCGCTTATTTAGCTTTCAATGTGTCACAATAATTCCTATTTGTCGCCTATGCGACGTGACACTTGACGAAAAACTAGAATGTCAAATGTAAATGTCTCGTGGTTTGACTACGAAATCCAACTTTATTTATTAGTGGTATGATATTAGATTTTAGTAAATGATAACCTAGTGAGAATTTTTTCATACTTGACAAGCAACAATATAATCTAAGTATCTAACTACCTACAAGGCTACAGTCTGATCTTATGATAACATAATACGCACTTTTCATACCCGAATATGAGCAACTCCAATGGTTGTAGCTAAGGCCTTGCTTGCAAAATTAAATAATCCTTAGCTACTAGCTTAACCATTGAAGCTAAAAAATTCAATTTGCTTGGAAAAAAACTTGCTAAAATAAAGCAAATTAGAATAAATAAAATGAAATTTATCAACGTAAATTAAGTAAATGTGGTTCATTTAAATAGTAAGCTAATAGCTACCCATTGGAGCTAAAATGACAATTAGCTTAAAAGCTTATGTGTCATGGCAAACTAATTCGACAATTAGCTTGCCATTGGAGTTACTCTAAGCAAACAATAACGTAGTAAGTCATAAGCATTTTTCATATGTAGTAATAAAAACGAAGTAGAATTCTTCGATCACATAATGAGCATCACAATCACAATCCACAAATAACTATATAAATTAAGTAGGTTTCATAATGAGCATCACAAATATTATATAGTCACACGGATTGCATTGTCACAACTAGAGTAGGTAATCATTGATAGGGAGTATAACATAACACGATTCGAATTCAATATGAAGATAGTGAACTCAAATCAAGTCAAACACGACCCAATTAGGTAATTTTAGACATAATATGCAATCAACCTACTTTTTACATGAAATTTTGTACATGGAGTGAATTGGAAACCAAATATGAACACGACCTAGTTACCCGTTTTGCCAGCTTTCAATACTCATCTGAATTCTCAAAAACTACAAAATACTAATGTGAAGTACTTTTTTTTTTTTTTTTTGAATAGTAATGTGAAGTACTTAAATACAAATAATCATTTTTAATTTTATGTGCTTAATAATTCAAACTTGTTACCAAGTTACCACCTAAAAGTTACCCTTCCCTCCTAGCCTCAAAGAATCTAGCCTGTAAACTCGATCGGGTTAATCTGTGAGAGGTTTCAGCCTCACCACCTAATTGGGCATTTCATCATACCTTAAAGAGGGGTTGTTTAGTTGTTTACAGCCTAAAAGCAAGACGTTCCTTATGATATGATTTACTCCGTACTGTAATTGATCTTCCTTAATTTTTGTTAACAAAAAAGCCCTCTTTTATTCAGTCAAATCAGGAGTGATAAACATAATTTAACAAGTTAAATACCTACAATATCAATCCAAAATTCCTTCGTTAATTCCAAACAATTTTGATTTTCAAGCATTTTCATCATTTCGATAATGGCGTTCCCTGGATCAGTCAACCCACTCGAGGTTTTTCTCTCTTATTTATATCATTGTTGGCAATTTTTAATCTAGGGTTTCATATTTTTGTTTACTTTTTGGAAAATCATTCAGAAAAATGTATTATGATTTAGCATTGAAATTCAATTAATGGTTAATTGTAGGTTGGTTTGCGATTGCTACTCAGTCCTACTGGTTCGAATGTGGTTGTTCGAACTGCATGGTATATTACTATGTTATATGATTTCCCAGAATTTTGATCAATTGAATAAAGTTTGTAAATTTGTATTTTTTGTGAAATTTTGATGTAATTAGTTTGGATTTGCATAAAATTTTAATTTTATTTTGTTGGGTTTTGTTTATATCGCCAATTTCAGCTGTTCTGTGGGGGTGGTATTGCCTGTTTATACTACTTTTAAAGCAATTGAAAGGGAAGATCCTGAAGAACAACGAAAGTGTCTTATTTACTGGGCAGGTTAGCAATATTATATCGCTTGCTTATTGTTTTTTCATTTTTGAAAAGTTTAATTTCAAGTGATATTGTGTTTTGTAAGGAATTTTGGTTTCTTTTGTTTTCGACTTAGTTCGTATTATTGTTTAGTTTCAAGTGATGTTGTATTAGTTTCCGACCTTGTTTTTCATTATTTAGTTCGTGTTATTGAAATTTAGAGTGGAAGCTAAGAACATTCCAATAGTGATGTTAACAATGTATAGTTGCCTTATTGTATTTTTAAACTACAATGCTTTCAAGCTACAAACTTTTACTATAGTTGGCTATAAGGAACACCTTGTAGAGTTGTAGGTTGGCTTGAGTGTTGCCTTTTTTTTTTTTTTTTTTTTTTTTAATTTTTTGCTGGCTTGTAGCTTTATTGAGTTACAACCACTCGTGGGTTAATTTTGGTTCTCCAATGGTTGTGCTACTACTACCTTAACAAAAATTGCAATCAACTTTACACCAATCATTGATATCTGGACAATCTATGTGTAAGTTGTAGCTACAAGTTTACTGTTGGAGAGGATATTAATTAACTTGCAAGCATATTTAGCTCAATAAAGCTTCAAGCTTTGGGGAAAAAAAGGGAATTGAAGGAACACATGCAAGCTTTAAGGTGTTGTGGCCAATCATTGGGGGATCTTGTAGCTTGAAGGTTTGTAGTTTGAAAATATGGCATGGCAAGCCAAAGTGCCAAACTACACCATTTTATAACATCTCCAATGGTGTAGTATGGGACTTGCTTGCAAATGTGCATTTCTTAGAAGTTCCAAGCTACTAACTTATTTACTACAATTAAAATCAAAATGTAAATTAACAGGTTTCATTTAAGTAGCTTCAAACCTTTCATGGCATGGCAAATGTTTTTGGCAATTAGCTTAAAATTAGAGATATTCTTATAGCTCACCATTGAAGTTGCTCTTTGTTTATCTCCAATGAAAAACAAATTGTCAATTTAGCTTGTCATGCCACCTAAAATTTCAAATTATTTTTCTTTCTAGCAAGTTTGTATCCCAGGGGTTAGCTACTAGCTTGCTTTTTAGATGAGTCCTACTTGTCAATGAATGTTGACCACCATGATTTCTCTTCATACCAACTTTTTGTCCAATAAAATTAGCTTGCCCCAAGCAAATTTCCCATTTGAGCTCCAATGGCTAATAGCTTGGGACATCTAAAAATTGCAGGCAAATCCCTAGATAATTGTTGGAGATGCTCTCATAAGGCATGCGAAACATAAGTTTATTTAAAAATTAGTTTTTGGGAAGAGGTTTTTCCTTAATAAAATACGACATTGATGGTTTGATTTGTTTCTCTTGGTGTTGGTGTATTGGTTTATTGGGCTTCCTTTTATCGTTTGTTTTAGAATGTGAAATTTTGAGCATTAATCAACCAATAACTTACTTCAAAATGTACCATGGGTGCTTCTGTTACCTGAATCTTCTTCCCTGTCTCACTGATGGTGCAGTCTCTGCTGGATTTAGCTCTTTGTTTTCCGACTATCATTCTTCAATACGTTGATTAGTACTCAATTAACTTAGGTCCTTTTTAATTTACATCTTGAATCTAAAAGCAATTTAGATGGCTAGATGTTCTCAATGTTGCTAGTTAATCGTGTAGGTAAAGTGGTCACCTAATTGTGATAACTAATACGTGGAACTGAGTCCTAGTTACCTTCTGTTGCTTAATTTTTCATTTTTTTTTACAATGAATTGTTACCTTCTTATGATAGTTTTGATTTGTGAAGCTGTTAAGGAGACTAATTTAATTGTATTGCAAGGATCTTTAACTTGCAGTTGTCGCTGTTATTCTTAAGTGAAACAAATAGTTGTGAACATTTGCGCTCATCAACTTTTCTTTCAAACAAAGATCGCTAAATTTTAATTCTAGAAAATTGCTTGCTAAAAAGACAAAGGATTGGAGCTATCATGGTTCACTTCAAGAATAATAATCAGCACTGCTGAGTTAGATTCATAAATTGACATCTAAGAAACATGGGTTATTTACCGGGTGATTTTATCAACTCCTATGTCAAGCTTGTAGGGGATTCAAAATCTTTGGCGTTTTATTTCTAAGAACATTGCTGATCACTTTTCTACTTTAGATTTTTGTAGCATCCTTAGTTTGTCGCATTGTCTACAGCATTTTTTATCTTTGTTTATTCACCATTTTAACTACAGCTCTTCTTTATATGCAGCATATGGGTCATTTACTGTTGCTGAAATGATCACTGACAAGCTCGTCTATTGGTACCTTTCTTATCCTTGGTATTTTATGACTATTAAGCTCTCAGCAGATTTCTCCTGATTAGATTTGCGAAGATCAAGAACTTCTCCCTTTTTTTTCCCCTTCCCGTGCATTCATGTGTCATGCTATCATTATTGTTTTTTGTCTAATTTTTGTATATGAGATGTTGAAGAATGAAAGAGATTCTTGCAATTCTTGCAGTACTTGCATTGAATATCTAATAAAGATTTCAGATATTCTTCAATCTCTTGCCAAAATTTAGTATCATACTTGATCACAAAGATTTGCTTGAGTAGAGTTATGCTCACTTGAAGGCCGGGCTAGTGTCCACTGGAGGAATAGAAAAATTGGATTAGAACACCCACCACCATCACCACCATGCACAACACAAAATAAGTATAAAAAAAGGGAGGAAATGAAAAGGTGAATCTCCCTTAGGTGATCTCTTGAAACTCATGGATGATTGATTGATTGATGATGTATACTTGGTGATGAATTTCAAGTGTGTCAGGTGTTGCAAGATTATTTTATAATGATCCTTTTCTTATAATCATTTGTGATTTACAAAGTCAATTGGGGGGAGGGGATTGTATTTTAAATTTTTAATTGTAGAAAATGATTCAGAAGTTATTATATATGAAGTATGATGAATAAGGTTTTAACCTTACTGCTTATACAATGTGTTAATGATTTAGAAATTGATTTTCCCCCAACCTTAATATACATTGCAGAAGTAATCATTTTCCCCCAACCAAATTACAATCCTCCAACCAAGCTGTCACCTTATTGGTGAAGAGAGCTTGAATACATATTTATAGATTAGATTTGTTAGGTCACTTGGGTAGATTCTTTATGGTTTTTCATTATCTGCTGATATTGTCTTTTGCACTTCATTTGTATGTACAAGTATTCACTCTTGCTTCTCAATTTTAGATTTTTGAACACTGAAAAGTTCCTTGTCTCTTATTGTCAGGTTCCCCCTATACTACCATATGAAGTTTGCTTTTCTTGTTTGGTTTCAACTTCCGTCAACCAATGTAAGCTTCATGTCATGGCATTTTACTTGTTTCACACGTGCATGTGTTGGTGATTTATTTGAAGGATATTGTTGTGGTTGCATCTTCTATAATCTATATTGTGAGAAAGTACCTTGTATAAACTATATATTGTATGATGGCACCCAAAACCAACTTTTCGGTTTATTATAGTCAATCTCTGGTTCTTTGACTTGTTTTCCTGTCCTTTCCCTTTTATCTCCACCCCTCCCCCCCCCCCCTCATTTTTCCTTCTGTGACGCACCCACTTGCATACACCTCAGCTTACATTTCTGCCCTTACAAAGTTAAGTTGCCTTGAGTTGAGACAAATTCTGTCTTAGAAGGCAATTCCCCAAAAAAAAAAAACAAAAAAAAAAAAACAGTTTAAAAAGGTTTTCTGAACAATGTGTCCTGAATTTTAATATTAACTTCTGCTAAACTAATGTGCATTGTGGAGTAATTGACTTCTAGCTTAATGTCACTGGTTTAGTTTTTCTTCATAAATAATATTAGTGAAGAGGGGATATAGATTTTTTTTTTTTTTTTTTTTTTTTTTTTTTTTTTTTTTTTGTGTGTGTGTGTGTGTGTATATAGATATATATAGCCTCAATTTTAACAAATTTTTCCTTGCTCTAGGTTCCCACCTCCAACCACCAAGAGCTTGGTGGTTGTGTGGACTGCAAGTAGATATTTTGAGGAAATGGGGTTGGGGGTTGGTGGTGTCTATTAGGGCCAGTTGGATTTAACTCATTTAAGTGCTATGCAAGTTGTTCTTATTATCTGTTTTCTATGACAGGGAGCAACACAGCTGTACATGAACCACCTGCGTCCTTTTCTCTTGAGACATCAAGTTAAACTTGATCAAATTGTGGGACTTCTGTATGGTGAAATGGTAAGTTATCTTTATTAGACATAATACGTTCTTTACAGCAAATAGAAACGAACCCGTTTGGCTTACTACTTACCAAATGTTGAGTAACTATTACTGGGAGCTAACAAGTTTTATGGACTTGCAGGCTAAATTTGTATCCGTGCACCAAGCAGAACTCCAATTTTTAAAGAAAATCCTTGTCAACATTTTTGAACCAGGTGCATGATTGGGCATGCTTCCTTTTATTTTCTAATATCCACTTCCATTAGGCATTATTAGACAGTACTACATATTTCATTTAATATTAAAAAAAAAACTATCAAATTTATCTTTCCACTTCCATTCTACTTGAATTTTGTCTTTCCATTTTGTGTTCTCCAAGTTAGTACTATGCATTTGTCTTTTACCTTCTCACTTTCTTCTTTGGTTCTTGAGCAGTAAATCAGATATTTAGAAGAACCCCGCACCCTAATAGAGGAGGTGTTGCTGCAATTGAAGGTCCGGCTGAACAAGAACAAGATGAGGATGTATCTTCGGAACCTGAAAATTGATTATTGTCTCAATGCAGTGAACTACTTCATTTTATTTATTACTTTTTAAAATCTTCTGCTGCTGATTACGAACAAATAGAGACCGCAAAAATCAGGGAATTTTATCTGGGTTAGTTTCAAATCTAGTTTCCTGCTGTTTTGTAAATAGATGTATAGAAAGTTATAGGTCTAGAACGTGTTGGAATGATTTACTGTTGCAGCTTATGAGAAACAGATTCTTCATACTAATACTACTATCCCTGATTCCTTGCAAAACCGAAACTTGTTAATAAAGGAGCTACTTTTTACTCCTCTAACGGCCTGTTTGGTATATAGTAATATATGATGGTAATGAGGATGAATAGTATATTTATTTCTAAGAAAATCAATGTTTATTTCCATGGTAATGTTAGTTTACCTCAAATTTCATGACCATCCATTACCATTTAGGAGTAATTTGGGTGGTAATGGACATTCATGAAGAACACATGTTTGTAATGAGATTGCATTCTCATGGGTATTTGACTATTTGGATGTCACTTTGCTTGTCAAACCAAACTAAGTTTCATGAGGCGGGTACCGGTTGGTTGTTTTGTAACGCTGAGTCGCAGCATCCATTGGGAGGTGGAGCTAAAGCTTGTGTGGCTGGGTCGGCTCTCCATTCTGAACTTCTAGCCTGTTTGTATGGTCTTCAACAAGCTCGTTCACGGGGTCTTACTAAGCTTCTTCTCCTTACTGACTGTTCTATTATTTCTACTTTACTTTTGTGCAAAGAATCGGTGGATATGTCAGTGTTCAGGACATCCGTAACATCTTGTCGGGTTTTACTACTTGTCTCATTAGAAAGGTTCCTAGGTCGGCTATTACGGAAGCTCATTCCTTGGCTGGAGCGGCTCGTCGTAGAGATCTTCTTTTTAATTTTTTTTGGAATTTTTTGATTTTTTTCGCCTATAAATAAAGATTGCCGAAATGTTTACCATGTTCCCAAATACCCTCTATTGGCTGGGTGGAACCATCCAATTTTCCTGTAAACAACCAATTTAACAGTTTACAACTAGCACCGATTTCATTAACACAAGCCTACCACGAACATTTCAGACAACATATAATGATCATATATGGTTCCAAACGGCATTATATGACCCCGAGATGTATCCCCTAAAATCTCAATGTTTTTCGACACCGAGCCCCGAAACAATTGAATTTTCTCAAAAAGCGTAGATATTAGCCTTCAATTTTGGAATTTTTTGACTTTTTTTCGCCTAAATATAAAAATTTTCAAAATGTTTATCATGGTCCCTAATACCCTCCGTGAGTCTAATTGGGTGGTGGAACCATCCAATTTGGCTTTATACGACCAATTTGTCGGTTTACAACTTTCACCGATTTCATTAATTCAAGCCTACCACGAACATTTATGACAACAAATAATGATCATGTATGGTTTCAAACAGCATTATATGACCCTGATATATATCCCTTAGAATTTCAAGCCTTTTAGTCATCGGGCGTCGAAACCTCCAAAAATTTTCAAAAAGCGTGGATATTAGCCTTCAATTTTGGAATTTTTTGACTTTTTTTTTTACCGTAATAAAAATTGCCGAAATGTTAACCATGATCTCTAATACCCTCCGGGAGTCCAATTGGGTGGGTGAAACCATCCAATTTGCCTTTAAACGGCCAATTTACCGGTTTACAACTTGCGCCAATTTCATTAACTCAAACCTACCACAAACATTTATGACAACATATAATGATCATATATGGTTCCAAACGATATTATATGAACTTGAGATGTATCCCCTAAAATCTAAAGGTTATTTCGACACCGGGCTCCGAAACCTCCAAAATTTCTCAAAAAGCGTGGATATTAGCTTTCAATTTTGGATTTTTTTTTGACTTTTTTCCGCCCGGAAATAAAAATTTCCGAAATGTTTACCTTGGTACCTAATACCCTCCGGAAGTCCAATTGGGTGAATGGAACCATCTAATTTGCCTTTAAACGACCAATTTACCGGTTTACAACTAACTTGCACCGATTTCATTAACTTAAGCTTACCACGAAATTTATGACAACAAATAATGATCATGTATGGTTTCAAACGACATTATATAACCCCGAGATATATCCCCTAGAATTTCAAGCCTTTTCGTTATCGGGCCTCAAAACCTTCAAAATTTCTCAAAAAGCGTGGATATCAGCCTTCAATTTTGGAATTTTTTTACTTTTTCCCGCCCGTATATAAAAATTGCCGAAATGTTTACCATGGTCGCTAATACCCTCCGGGAGTTCAATTGGCTGGGTGGAACCATCCAATTTGCCTTTAAATGACCAGTTTACCGGTTTACAACTTGCACCAATTTCATTAACTCAAGCCTACCAGAACATTTATGCCAACATATAATGATCATATATGGTTCCAAACGATATTATATGACCCCGAGATGTATTCCAAAAAATTTCTAGGATTTCGACACTGAGCCTCGAAACCTCCAAAATTTCTCAAAAAGTGTGGATAATCCCTTAAATTTTGGAATTTTTTGACTTTTTTTCGCTTGTAAATAAACCGAAATGTTTACCATGGTCCCAAATACCCTCCGAGAGTCTAATTATGTGGGTGGAACCATCCAATTTGCCTTTAAATGACGAATTTACCGGTTTACAACTTGCACCGATTTCATTAACTCAAGCCTATCACGAACAATTATGACAACATATAATGATTATTTATGGTTCCAAACGGCCTTATATGACCCCGAGACGTATCCCCTAAAATCTCATTTCTTTTCAATGCCGGACTCCGAAACTTTCAAAGTTTCTTAAAAAGTATGGATATTGGCATTCAATTTTAGAATTTTTTTGATTTTTTTTCGCGCAGAAATAAAAATTGCCGAAATGTTTACCATGGTCCCTAATACCCCAGGGGAGTCCAATTGGGTGGGTGGAACCATCCAAGTTGTCTTTTAAACGATTAATTTAACGGTTTACAACTTGCACCGATTTCATTGACTCAAGCCCACCACGAACATTAATGACAAAAAATAATGATCACATATTGTTCCGAACGACATTATATGACCCTGAGATATATACCCTAAAATTTCAAGACTTTTAGACACCGGACCCCAAAGACTCCAAAATTTCTCAAAAAACATGAATATTAGCCTTCATTTGATTTTTTGACTTTTTTTGCCTGGAAATAAAAATTGTCCAAATGTTTACCATAATCTCTAATACCCTTCGGGAGCCCAATTGGGTAGGTGGAACCATCCAATTTGCCTTTAAACGGCTAATTTACCGATTTACAACTCTCACCGATTTCATTAATTCATGTCTACCACGAACATTTATAACAACATATAATGATCATTTATTGTTCCAAACGACCTTATATGACCATGAGATGTATCCCCTAAAATCTCAAGCCTTTTCGACAATGAGCCCCAAAACCTCCAAAATTTCTCAAAAACCGTGGATATTAGCCTTTAATTTTGGAATTTTGACTTTTTTCGCCCGAAAATAAAAATTGCCAAAACTTTTACCATGGTCCCTAATACCCTCCGGCAGTCCCATTGGATGGGTGGAACCATCCAATTTGCCTTTAAACGGCAAAATTTACCGATTTACAACTTGCACCGATTTCATTAACTCCAGCCTATCACGAACATTTATGACAACATATAATGATCATATATGATTCCAAACAACATTATATGACCCCGAGATTTATCCCTTAGAATTTAAATACTTTTCGAAAATGGGCCCGAAACCTTCAAAATTTCTCAAAAACCGAGATTTATCCAATTTGCCTTTAAACGGCTAATTTACCAATTTACAACTTGCACTGATTTCATTAACTCAAGCCTACCATAAACATTTATGACAACATATAATGATCATATATGGTTCCAAACGGCATTATATGACCCGAGATTAATCCCCTAAAATTTCAAGACTTTTCGACACTAGGCCTTGAAACCTCCAAAATTTCACAAAATGCGTGGATATTAGACTTCAATGTTGGAATTTTTTAACTTTATATCATCCGCAATAAAAATTGCCGAAATGTTTATCATGGTCCCTAGATAATATCCTCCGGGTGTCCAATTGGTTGGGTGGAACCATCCAATTTGCCTTTAAACAACCAATTTACCGATTTACAACTTGCACCGATTTCATTAACTCGAGCCTACCACAAACATTTATGACAACATATAATGATCATATATGGTTCCAAATGGTATTATATGACCCCGAGATTTATCTCCTAAAATTTCAAGGCTTTTAGACACCGGGCCCTGAAACCTCCAAAATTTCTCAAAAAGCGTGGATATTAGCCTTAAATTTTATTTTATTTTTTTACTTTTTTCGCCCGAAAATAAAAATTGTCTAAATGTTTACCATGGTCCCTAATACTCTCCGGGAGTCTAATTGGGTGGGTGTAACCATCCAATTTCCCTTTAAACGGCCAATTTACCACTTTATAATTTGCACCGATTTCATTAAATCAAGCCTACACTAGTAGAAAAAACGCTATTCGTAACTAACAAAAACGGGCTTTTTGTAACCAACATTGGCCGTTACAAGTACTGGGGTTACAAATAGTCCTTTCAGTTGTAACGGACATTGTCCAATTGCTAGTTATGAATAGGTACCCATTTGTAACGGACAATTCAATTGTTAGTTACAAATAGGTAAATATTTGTAACCCACAATTGATATGTCAGTTACAAATAGGTACCTAGTTGTATCGAACATGTTAATTGTTGGTTACAAATGCTCATTTTCGATATTAAAAAAAAACCTAGCAAATTCTAGGTCGATGCAACTTTTATTATTATTATTATTATTATTATTATTATTATTATTATTATTATTATTATTATTATTATTATTATTATTATTATTATTATTCCTAAGGGCACCAATTCAACAACCAAAAAAAGGTAAAAATTAATGGCTTAACCCCGTCCCACTGCCCCCACAACACACCGACGAATCCACCACCGACGACCCAAACCCACCTCCATTGCGCAACTAGCAAATGATGCTAGGTTACGTTGAAAAGTGTCATGGAACTTGAATCCACCACCGACGACCCACAACCCCCATCCACCCACGAATCCCACCATCCTAACCCATATCGTTCTCCCCCACCCATGACCGCCACAAACACCACCAATACAAACCAAACACCACCACCAAACACACTAAAAACAGATTTATCATACAAATAAAAAAACCTAAAAATTATACACATATATTACGAAATTAAAACACAATTATCTAAAAATTAAACAAAAAAAAAATAAAATTAAATGAAATTATGTACACAAAAAGTCCAAAAAATCGAAAGGAAGAAATAATTATAAATTAAAATTCCAATTTCATAAAAAAAAAATTATAATTAGAATTTAAAATAAACAAGCCTAGATCTAATGTCTAAAGTTAATTAAACTAACTAAGATCTAAAATTCGAAAACCTCGGTTGACAACAAAGGGTTACTTTGACATTGGATGCTCGATTGTTTAGCGGTGTGTAGACAATTGACGACATATATATGTTCGTGGATTGACAATGAAGCTCGACGACTCATGGGTGGCGGTGTGTGGTCGTGGTCGTCGTGGCAACTTGCAGGATAGAATTTCTTAGAGATTAAGGGAAATGGGAGAAAGAAAAAGGGAGGACATAGAGATTTGAAAGGAGAGAGGAACGGAGGAGGAAGAGGGGGGAGAATAGACAGAATTGAGAGGAGAGAGAAAGAAGAGAAGGGAGGAGGAGAGAGACTATAGAGTTGAGAAATAAAGGGGGTGACTGTATGATATTTAGGGTTAGAGGAGTGATGGGCTTTGGGCCGTTCTCCTTCCTTCCTATTTGTAACCAACTATAAAATGTCCGTTACAAATAGAATGTATTTGTAACCAACATTATATTGTCCGTTACAAATTGGATGTATTTGTAACCAACATTATGTTTTCCGTTACAAATAAGATGAATTTGTATCAGACATAGCTAATGTTGGTTACAAATATAGTATTTGTAACTAATAAAAAACTGTTGGTTACAAATAAGGCGTTACAAATAGCATTTTTTCTACTAGTGCTACCACGAACATTTATGACAACATATAATGATCATAAATGTTTCCAAACGGCATTATATGACCCCGAGATGTATCCCCTAAAATTTCAAGGCTTTTCGACACCGGGCCTCGAAACCTCCAAAATTTCTTAAAAAGCGTTGACCTTAGCCTTCAATTTTGGAATATTTTGACTTTTATTCGCCCGAAAATAAAAATTGCCAAAATGTTTTCCATGGTCCCTAATACCCTCCGGGAGTCCAATTGGGTGGGTGTAACCATCCAACTTGCCTTTAAACGGCCAATTTACCGGTTAATAATTGCACCAATTTCATTAATTAAATCAAGCCTACCACGAACATTTATGACAACATATAATGATCATATATGGTTCCAAACGGAATTATATGACCGCGAGATGTATCCCCTAAAATCTCAAGTCTTTTCGACACCGGACCTTGAAACCTACAAAAATTTCTCAAAAAGTGTGGACATTAGCCCTTTAATTTTGGAAATTTTTGACTTTTTCGCCTGGAATAAAAATTGCTGAAATGTTTATCATGGTCCCTAACACCCTCCGAGAGTCCAATTGGGTGGGTGGAACCATCCAATTTGCCTTTAAACGGCCAATTTATCGGTTTACAACTTGCATCGATTTACTAGCTTACAACGGCCAATTTAATTAACTTGCACTGAACCTGACTTGAACTGAAATTGATCCAAACCTGTTTAACCCGTCAAAAGCCAAATATTACCCGACTTGTTACTAACCTGACTCGAATTCAACCCAACCCGTTCCTAACTCGACCTAAAATGAACCCAACCTGTTACAAACTCGACCCGAAATCAACCCGACTTGTTATTAACCCGTCCCAAATTAAACCCGACTTTTTATTTGACCCGACCCGAATTTAACCATACTTATTACTTACCCGACCCAAAAATTCAACCCGATTTATTACTAACTCGACTCGAAATTAACACGAGTTGTTATTGACCCGACCTAAATTCAACCCTAATTATTCCTGACCCGATTTCAAATCACCTTAAATGCATTTTAGACCACTTTATTATTGTTGATCAAAACATTTTGCCTAGCTAGGGAGACCAAGTCGGTACAGTCCGGCAAAAGAAAGGAGCATCATCCTCAAATTTAAGAGTTAAATATAGTACATATATTTGTTGTATGGTCAAAGGAGATAATTATCTTCCTAAGTTATAGGCTATAGTTCCCTAGTATATTGCCATATATATTATTGTCAAGGAAATAATTAGCTTGATAAAAATGATAATTATCAATTTATAGTTAGTTGAACCCGAATATGACCAGACTTAGAAATGACTCGACCTGATTGTAACCTGCAAATTATTAACTTGAACATAACCCGACTTGAATCCGAGAATGACCTGACTTGGAAATGACCCAACCTGATTATAACTAAATTATTGACTTGAACCAAACCCGATTTGAACCCAAGAATGACCTGACCCTCATTATAACCCGCAAATTATTGACTTGAATCGAACCCGACTCAAATCCGAGAATGACCCGACCTGATTCTAACCCGCAAATTATTGACTTGAACCGAATCCGACTCGAACCCGAGAATTACCCTAATCGGTTTTAACCCGTGAAAACTCGAATTAAACCCGACTTATTATTCACCCGACCCGAATGTAACCCGATCTATTATTAACCCGACCCAAACCCAACCCAAGCCCGATAAGAAGTATGACCCGACTCAAGCATGACCCAACCTAAACCCGACCCGCATAAGTTATGAAATTAATCTGAATTGACCCGACCCACTCTTACCTGACCCATACCCGACCCATTTACCCGAATTGATAGCCGTAGTTGCAACTTTGGAATATTTTATATCTCTCAAATAATACCCTAAAGTTGCAAAAAAAAAAAAAAAAAAAATCGGAGGTAGTATTTATAATCGACTGCCAAATGTATTGACTTGAACATACTTTTTAGTCCTTTAATGGTTTTGAAAGTAAACGCAGATATTGTTTAAGAAATTGAGGTAGTTGGCTGAGCAGTAACAAAGCGATGAAACACAAAGCATCTTGTTTCTCGAGTGCCCACAACTCTTAAACAAAGACTGATGATAGAGGAATTATAAATAAAAAATTCGTTAAGCAAAAGTATTATTCAACTACTATACTAGTAGTTTCGGTCTATTAGCACTCAGTTCAGTCATTTGTTTGAATGATGAAAGCTCAAACAAACATTTTTCTGAACTGCTTCGATGTAAAGTAAGAGAAATTAGTTAAATAAACAGGTAATAAGGAGTTGAAAATCAAGCAATCATACTTGAAAACTTGTAAGCAAGACAAGGAGTACGTAAATCTGAATGGAAAAAGTTATGAATGGAGAAGAAAAGAGAGTTTGTGTGACTGGTGCTTCAGGTTTTATTGCTTCTTGGATTGTCAAGCTTTTGCTCCAACGAGGTTATCAAGTCAACGCTACTGTTCGTAACTTAAGTATGTTTCTCCTCTTTCTGTCTATGTGTGCGTGTTTTATTCACCTGACTTTTCATTGTAGCGTTAAGCTTATATATCCTCCTGTTAATGTTTGTCCCAATCGAATTTATTTAATTTTTTTTCATAGTAACCCATTGAGCAATAAGAACTCTATTTGTGTATGCTTATTTGTCGATGAATAATCATGGACAAAGTTAATATCTCAAATATATTTGGTTCGTATGTTATTGAACATACAGATGATCCCACACAAAAGGAGCACTTGCTTGCAATGGATGGTGCTGAAAAGAGGCTTCACTTGTTTGAAGCAGATCTCTTGGAAGAAGGTTCCTTCGATTCTGTTATCCGTGGATGTGGTGGTGTTTTCCACACTGCAACTCCGCTTATACTCTTTTCCACGAATCCTGAGGTTTCTTGTTCAACTAGTCCCTTTAAACCCTTCGAATTCCTAGTTTCAGAACGGTTCCACCAATTTCACTCGTCGTTCACTGTTAGTTTAAATGTTGTGATTACATAACACTGAAGTCCACCTTTTCTCTGTTAGTTAAGGTTATAACTGATACAGGGCCAGTTCTAAACTGGCTCATTTAAATGTCAAGTGTTGCACGCTTCGAGTATTTATATATGTACATTACTTAGGGCATGTTCTCATACGTTGAAATTCAGTTCAGCTCAGTTCAGTTCAGTTCAGCTCCTAATTTCCTTCTCTTATAAAATATTCAGTTTAGTTCAGTTCAGTTCAGTTCAGCTGATTTCAGTCAATGAGAAGCTGAGAACAGGCCCTTAGTGTCACTTGAGATGTTGCAGCCCCTGCTAATACTTACAGGTAAGGCCAGTAATAATAAGACATGTGCTTCATCTTTGTATTTTCGGAATTTTCAGGAAGAAGTGATTGAACCTGCTGTGAAGGGAACTCTTAATGCTCTTTCCTCCTGTGTAAAAGCCGGTTCATCTGTCAAACGAGTGATTTTCACATCTTCTACTGCAGCAGTTGTACACAATGGAAGACCTCTCACCAATGAGACAGTAGTTGATGAAACATGGTTTTCTTCTCCAGCAGGCTGCAGGGGAAGAAAAGGGGTAGGCATAATTCTGTTCCTTTTCAAATTACTCAGTATATAATTAGCTAGGAGATTATACAATTGTACTTTCATAATCGTCGTATGCAGGAGTGTTACAGTCTCTCAAAAACCTTAGCTGAGGATGCTGCGTGGAAATTCGCCAAAGAGAATGGCATCAATCTGATTTCAGTAAACCCTGCTGGTGTAATAGGCCCATTGTTGCAGCCAACAATAAATGCTACAACATTTTACTATATTATTAACTTGATTAACGGTATGATCAATAACAAAGTATTAAGTATCGCGTCCTTTTGATTAAAACATCAGACTGTTTCTAATTATTGAGCTGATTTTAGGGTCAGAAACCTATCCAAATTCAAGTTTTGGGTGGGTTCATGTAAAAGATGTAGCCGAGGCACATATTCGTGCCTTTGAGATCCCTTCTGCTAATGGAAGGTACATATTGAGTGAAACTGTTGCACATTTCTCTGAAATTGTCAAAATATTGCATGAGCTTTACCCGAGTCTCAAACTTCCTGAAAAGTAAGTACATGCTTTCCTTAAGTTATTTTTCTGAAATCTGTTGTCTTTGGTTCTAGTTTGTATTGTAACTAACTAACTATTATGTAATTGTTACATGATACCCTTCATTTCTTGCTTCTAGGTGTGAGGATGATCAACCACTTGCAGCGAGTTACAAGATTTCGCAGTACAAAGCCAAGACCTTAGGCATTGAGTTCATTCCCTTACAAATTGCTCTCAAGGAAACTGTTGCGTGCTTAAAGGAGAAGTTCAACATTAGTGTTTGATACTATTTTTTCTTTCTTTCTTTTTCTTTTTCTATTTCTACTAACTTGTTTAATACTGTATATTCTTGGCTGTGTTTAGTTTCTGCAACAATGAAGGAAATGCTTGTATGCTGTGATTTATAGACTAGTGTTTAATTGGTGGCTATAAACATATACTATAAAGTCTATAATCATGCATGTTTCCTAAGGCCTTTTTCTCCTAGCAACTAATATACTGGACCATATGAAAATAGGGACGTATTTTATTGATGTACACTTTCTTGCAATTTATATTAGCGTAGTGATTATCACATAGCTTTCTCATACTACTCACTATTTTTCATATTAAAATTAGTGTGTGATCTGAGCGATGCTTTATATCATTACTATACTTATCATATAATTAAATATTACTACGTACTAAACAGTAGAATAATTAATGGAAATAGTTTTTAAATAAACACCCCAATCAAAGTTAGATATATGATTAAAAGCGTTGAATATAAAAGTATGACTAAAAGTTGACTAAGATGGTAAGACTTTTAACTTAATTATTGTTGGTCATGAATTAAAACACCATAATAATTTCTATTAGCATTAAAAAATTGTTGATTGTGGATGATGTGGCATGTTTCTAGTGTGTGAGAAGGGTATCACGTGACACATACACTTTCTTAGATATATGGTACGTCTTTTAATTTATTAGTATAAAATGAATACTCGTAGATACTATAAGTTATACCCCCTTTGTTCCTTAAAAATTTTCCCAATGTAAAAAAATGAGAATTATGCTATCCATGCCATTGTTCGCGGCTAAATTAACTTTTCTTTCTTGCTTCAATTGTACAAGATTTTTGTCTAACCATAGGGGAACTAATTTCCTGTGGTGTTATGCTTTTCCAATTCAGTTTGTTACATCTTTATGTTCATTTTCAATTGAGCTTAATCATTAACAATTCTTTGGCTTTGTATTATATTGGCTTGTGTAAGGTTACTCATTTTGATTGATTCTTGCCATCTTGCAACATACTAATCTTTTTAAGATGGATCTTGACCATGTTTGAAAATTATAGATTACTCTAATTGTTAGTTGTTTATATCAGTCAATTTACTCGTATTTATTATTTGTGTATGTACGTAAAGTATTTGGCAATTGTAGTTGTTTTGAAATTCATCAAGTAAAATGACCATATATGGATGGGTAAATCTTTGGTAAAGAGTGGTAAATTTGATAAAGTATAGGATAGAATTGTCAATTCACCATTACATACAAAACTGATCTTCCAAAGAGCTATTATAGCCGGCTTTTTTCAAATTAGCTTATTAAGCTCAAACCTCTCTCAACCAAACACTCTCATTAGAGTTTAAAGTAATTTAATCTCTTTTTTATTCCACATCTCTCATAACCAAACACGCCTAATTGAGGTTTGGCGAGTTGCTCTACACTATAAATGTATGTTAAATACTAATTTCAGATGATGTTACTTCTAATTTCTTATTTAACATACATACTTTAATACTAGTAGTACATTATATTCTATTCAAACTCTTAAAAGATGTAGAGCAATGTTACATTAGCTAATTAGCCAAAAATGAATAATTTCATGTTAATGATATTAAATATTAATAGCTCCATTATTTGTTTTCGTTTGTTTGTGGATAATATGAAAGCTCAAATTCTACATAATAATTTAGTTTCATAATGATTTGGAACTTTCTTTTGCACCTAACATTATTATTATCATCCTCAAAATAAATGAACATAAGGAAAAATTAAAAAAATAAAATAAAAATGGGGTCCACGCTCTAATATTTTAAGAAAGAGCGACATTATAGGAAAGTGAAAACAATCATGAAAAGCATAATCAAATAAAATCAAAGAGAATTAGAAGCAAATCAGACAAAAAAGCTTAAGCTCCAATGCTTTTTGTCCTTACCAATTACCATTGCTTGCTTTTGCTGCTGGCTTTAATTATTACTAACTCTGTATTTACTCAAATCCTATGTCATTTACCAAGTTTGAAGATTGACCAACTTCTTGTTGAAATTCCCTAGGGAATTGTACCCTTAAATATTCTGATTAATATATAGGTTAAAATCTGTAAAGATTTCAGAATAGTTATACTTAGTACAGTAAATAATAGTCATGTCTGTTTAGGATATGTAGGTGTTTTTAATGGTCATTTTTTTGTGTTTAAGGTAAGATAAAGGGTTGTGTTAAAGAAAATTTTCTACAAGTGAGCTCCGTATAACCGTATAAATCAAATTTATATCACGCTCTTAGTTACTTGATGTTGGCCTGTTGGGAGTATTGGCATTAAATGATACAAGTATTATTTAGAGTGGTGCTCGCATATACATAACTATAAGAGTACAAGATACTTTGTGATCAATAAATTTTCTTTGGTACAGTAGTCGCAATTTCTAAAATATTCCAACAAGTTGATTATCTATAATTAATTCATGAAAGCCACATTTCTTGTAGCAATGAACAATTTCATTATTTTTCAGTTAAATATCTAAATCTTACCAAGCCAAGCATAAGTTCACATTAATGTGAAGAATGCGACCACACACAAGTCTAATAAGGTTTCATCTCAAAATACAATTAGAGCATCAATAAGAGAAACTTACGCCTACCACATAATTATCTCCGCCCCTTAATTATTTAACTCTAGAATAATATGGAGTAATTATTAAAAAAAAATCATGTTATATAAACAGAAAATAACACGATTATTTAAGAATACTCCAACATAAAATGAGGTAAACTGTAAAAAGTCGAAGGAGTAAGAATATAAGTAAAACTCTATTGGATCAAGATGTTCTTCTATTAGAAGTTTCCATCACACTACAGTTAATTATCTATTACGGAGTAACATTTTAGGAAGAGGACATTATTTTGTCCAAGGAATCATCCAAGGAAGATAGTTAGGAAAAATCCATTTAAATGTGCTGTAGAATAAAAATAATATAGAGGGTCTTCTTTTGTATTTTTCTTTATCTTATCATACTATAAAAATTGAAACAATTTATTAAGACATACACATGTACGAAGTATCATATTATTTTCTCATGGGGTTGTTTCCTTTTTCCTAGTTGAGGGGACCTTTCTTTAATAAAGAAGGTTAAAGGGATGAAATTCTTGGGCAGAAGCTAAAAACAGCCTTCTTTATTTATTTTATTTTTTTATGTAATTTTTTTTTATGATTTTGATTTTATATAGTCATTTTTGTCAGGAAAATGGGTGGGTTTTAATTCACAGGAACTTTCACTCTCAGGTGCTTATTAATTAAGCTCTGAAAATCCCAAAAAAAAGAAGGAAAAAAAAGGGAGTTTATTAAAGATACAAAAATGGCGGGTTTGCACTAGGTTGGTGAACCGGGGATTTCTCTGCAACTTTGATGGTGGTTCTTCCTTGATTAAAAGGTAAATATGGGTCTGTCTAATTTTTTTATTTTTTGAAATGGGTAATTCTTGAAATTGCATTTCTTGTTCATATTTCCATGAAATCAAGGAAAATGATTTTTTTTTTAATTTATGTTTATGTTAGTTTTTGGGGGGTTTGCTGGTAAGGAAATTGGTTCATCTTGAATTTGAATTTTTTTGGCAAGATTAAATGCTGGCATTGCTCATGCTTTGTAGAAAATTAGATGCAAAATGTTGAATTTTTTAGGGATAAATTGAAGAACATTTTCTTTTTTCTTGCAAATCTTTTTCTGGGATTTTTGAAGCTGATATGCTTTTGTTAGAGCTGCATTTTGCTTTCTGGGATCTGAAGTTGGTTTCCCAATAATATTATCTCTGGGATCTGTTGGTTATTTGGTTTAATCTGCTGATTCAAGATGTAGCATTGTAACTTGTACAAAATCATGTTTTTTTCATGAAAAATGAGGAAGTTTTTGTGTTATATGTTTTATTGTCTGAAGCAGATGATGCATATGCTGTGTTTGAAAGTCTTGTTTATCAGATTCTTGATGATATGATTGATTGATAAACAGATTGCTGATAAATAAGAAGCATCTTTAGTGCAACATGATTGTGCAAGTAGCAATTAAATGGATAAGTAATTATATTAGTGAATTATACTTATGCAAGCTATGTTTTGTAAGTCAATAAGCTGAAGATAAAACCCAATTGCTCTTAGTGCCTGTCTGCCTGATCTCTGTTAAATTGTACCTCTGTCGTCTGCGTGTGCGTGTTTCTGATTGTGCTGCTGTGATGCCATTCTATTTTGCAGGTTGTAACTACTCATCAAGGAATTCTTCGTTTCATAGATTCTCATCCTCGTAGTAAATATGAAACGAGAGTCCAAAAATGGCTCGTCCAGTGGTAAATCTAATCGTAGTAGAGGAAAATTTGCCTCTCGTTTTTGTATGTTCCCCAAGGTAAAATCAGCTGATACCGGTCCAGGCTTTGCTCCGGTCTACCTGAATGTTTATGATTTAACACCAATCAATGGCTACATGTATTGGGCAGGAGTTGGTATATATCACACTGGTGTTGAAGGTTAGCTTTTCTTCTACTATAATGGAAGTATGGAACTTAATTAATTGATCTTATTATAGACTTGTTTCAATTTATGATTTTGTAAAATCAGCTTGATAGACTTTTTACTTGTTAGTGGACATATTCATCTTAAAATAATTGTGAATTTAGTGAGTTTCTTGCTAATAAAGTTGATGTTAATAGAGCTCATCTTTCAACGTTTCAATCTTAGAATAGAGCTAATAAAGCTGATGTTAATAGAGCTCAGCTTTGGTAATTGGTAGAACTAGAGGCCATTTAGGTACAATACCCAAGTTTTTGTCGACTATAAGCAAAAGAAAGAGGAAGACTCCTGTAGTTGCTTCATGGTTTCGAGGGAGTTATTTCAGGAAAATTCATCACCTTGTATGTTGGAACAAATTGCACTTTTAGTGATCATTGAACTGCCTGTCATAGATGATTAGCAGTTAGCACATATAGCCCGGATTAGCAGTGATCATTAAACTGTCTTTTGAATCGTTAGATACTGAAATTTGATCTCTTTTGTTTGACAGTTAATGGCTCAGAATACGCTTTTGGCGCTCATGACTTCCCCACAAGTGGTGTATTTGAGGTTGAACCTCGGCAATGCCCTGGTTTCAAGTTTAGAAAAGCAATATTCATGGGAACAACATCTCTAGAGCCTAGTGAAGTCAGAGATTTCATGGAGCAACAATCACGAAATTATCATGGTGATACCTATCACTTGATCGTCAAGAATTGCAACCATTTCTGCGATGATATCTGTCACAAGTTAACAGGAAAGAAGATCCCTAAATGGGTTAATCGACTTGCTAGAATAGGTATGTAGATTTGTTAACCTTTTTTTTTTCCATCCCCCCATATCCCTACCACGACTTCTGATATAAGTTTTCTTGGATAAATGCATCTTTTTAATTGGTATATTCATTGATTGATATGAAGAATGATAGTCTCACTATAACAAGTAAACTTATAATGTTGTTCTAGACTCTGGCATCAGTGCACAACTTATATTAATTCAAAACATGTACATATAATATCATTAGAAAATAAATGATCAATATTCTGTAGCTTTGCTGATTTGGAGAGATCACCCCTGCATTGTGTTTATGGGATCTTTATTTCACTGCAATCGTTTTGATCTCTCATTTGCGAAGGGATTAGTGTTTATCAATCTGAAACACTGTTATAATGATAGGTTCAGTCTGCAACTGCATACTTCCAGAAAGTCTCAAGGCATCTACTATTCCGGAACCCCATCTCGAAGTATTTGAGAATGAAAAGAAGCATCTACGACCCTTTAGCTGCTTTTCATCCTTCTCAATGTCTCAGAAGGAGGAGTCAATTTCTTCCTTATTTTTACATTCACACTACTTGGGATGTCTACCATCTTGGGAGTCAAGAAGGACAAAACCTGGGATTTTTGAAGAGGAAGACTGACACGAACCTTTTTTGTACGACTACTTCGAGAATTTAGAGGCAATAGTGAATAGTATCATTTACGTTGATTGTGCATAGATCTTAGGGGGTGAGTGTACATGTGCTTTCTCGCCATTTTGATTCCATTACAGTAGCTGTTCTAGAGGGCGTAATTGTTGTCCCTGCAAATGTGTGTTTCAGTATTGGTGCTTTTTGATGCAATCAAGCTTTTATTCTTGCATCTCAGTTCAATTATCTTAAGCTCGAACATCAATCTTATTCGTGTAAAGGACTGTTCTGAATTGCTTGGATCCTGTACTTGAGAATTTGATCAGTTGCTATTTATAATTTTTCCAAAGCTTGTTTGTGGGGAAAAAAATTAGTGGTAAGATGGTCTGTAATATTGCTATGCTTCGGCAATTAAATGTTAAGTTATTCGACATTCAAGAGTCAGTTAAGGAGTAAGAATTCAGGCCAGGCTTTTGTCTACATACAAAATATAAGCTGATGTTATCAATTCTTTAACAGTCTCTTGATTATCGTCTTCTTGATGCTTTTAACAGACAGTTTGGACCCCTTTGGCTGCTACCTGCTAGACATTGTACATAGAGCAACGGTACTGCTCGACAATTTCATATGAGAAAAATTAAGGAAGCTGTCAAATTTAATCCCTAACAAAAATAATATACTTTACTCCAAACTGCATATAGTTGATAAAGTTTATGAATTATGAGATAAGTTAAAACAGAGTACTTTGTCAGTTATAAAACTCCGCCATATCGTTATCTAACAACCATTAGACAATGGCTTTTATAGAAGTTCAGGTATGTATGTATGATGACTTGAAGCCACCTACACTACATCGCCGCCATGCACAATACTACAAACAGTTTTTATAACTCCCTATTTAGCATTTCTTCTCATCATATTGTGTAACAATGATTAAAGCCTTGAATTAAAATTTCTCAAGTAAAAAATAAGATAAAATTTTCTACAAAGGTAATTTCTTTCTAAGATTGATTTCTACAATTTGTCTGATATAGGGATGAATACGAGAGAACTTGGGATGAACCGATGTATATCGCCAGCCAAAATTGTCATGCTACTCTTACTTGCTATAGAGATGAACAAGCGTAAAGACGAAAAAGCCAGCCATCTGCATTGAGGAAAAGATAATGAGATTAATCTACAACAAACTTCATACTTAAAATTAGCCAAATGAAATCTCACAGAAAAGAGAACCAAAACAGAAGCAAATAATAATTTTTTTGTTAAAAAAAAAATACACAGTAGCACTGAAATAAAAATACTACTACCTCCGTTTCTTATTATGTGCAACAAAGGGTATTATTTGTGAGACATAAAATATTCCTTTGTTGCGCATAATAAGAAATGGAGGTAGTACATATTTGAGCCAAAAACAGGAACGGTATGCAGGCGGTCATTATTGGGTTAATGCTGTACCATTGAAAAACATGATCCGTAATAGGGATATGCAGCAGTTATAAATCTTTCAAATTCATTGTGTCTGAAATGTCGTACAGGAATCTGCAATCAAGAGAGAAAAAAAATTAAACCATGGTGAAGTGCACAGCTGTCAAGTGTCAATAACATAACAAGAGCTTAGAAGTTAGAATCTAATATGATGTCACAAATCAATAATGATAATCAAAAAAGAATACAGACACTATATTATGAACTAAGGATGTACTATGAGTAGCACTAATAAACGTCTAAATGTCTTGATGGAGTTTCAATACTTTGGCATACTACAGCAAACTACCTTAACCTGATGCAAGATCAACTTCCAACCCAAAAGTTAGCTATGACTTCACAGGAACTTACAAAAATTTTGATATTATAGCTTTCAGTGAATAAAAAGGGTTTCTCCAGCTGTTCATAGGTTAGACACTATGAAAACTATACTAAAAATCTTATATACCTGCTTTGCTAGAGACAAGCTTGTATATCCGAGCCTTTGGTACTCAACTTTGAACTGGAAAACACCATATACATCTGGCACCTTAAATGAAGTATAATAAAGACCCTGCAAAACAGTAGAGAGTTGGTGACTATTAACCAAGGAAATGATGAAATACACAAGCGTAATAGATATGTAGATAAGCACCTTCTTATCAGTTGATAATGTCTTTAACACATAAGGGCTCATCATATAGAATTGCACTTGAACATCATCGGCTACATATGGCTCCCAGTTCACTCCAGACCATTCATAAATCTCGACAGAATATTCCTTCGCACATTTAAGCAGTAACATAAAACAGGTTCAGTTGATTGCATTTTGCAGAATACATTGAGGAACAGGTAAGATGTGAAGCAAAAATAAATTACCAGGTCATCAGTGATCCTATATATTGAAGGTTCATCTGTTTGTCCTGTCTTGTGGTGTCTTACATTTACAGCCTGTAAAATCAAGTGTCTGGTCAATGATCATGCTTCCAAAGCTTACATTTGTTATACCTTTGACTCAAAAGAAACATCATTAACTTTCTAATAGAAGATAACATTAAACTAGGAGAATTGAGCATAAATAGCTAGAAAAAGGTGACACACCTTGAGATGACCTCTTTCATGGAAAATCCATTTGCTAAGTTCAGTCACAAACTGCTCATTACCAGATTTGTCAAATCTGTTACAACAAGAAGCATTTCCACTTAATATACATATAACAGAAACAGTTTACTTCAAAATCATATTCCAAGTAATTAAGCAGGTATGTATTGATCAGAAGAACCAAACAATATTGTCCAGAAAGGTATACAGTAAACACAGTGAAGAAAATAAAGGAAGCAAAACCTGAGCATCTAGTCAAATAATTATTTAAGAAAAAATTCAGATCCTATCACTGACATGCATGAGATAGATAGTTAGATACATGAATGATGAGTGTGTTAGCAAAACAATGATTGACCAATAATGTTTCAAAGGCAATATCAGGATATCACACAGAACCACTGAGAAAATTGTTGCATGAGATATTCCACTTGCATTTCAGTGCCCAATTAGTACAGAAACATTTTGATAACAAAGAATAAATAATCCTCACAAAAACCATTCACTTTATAAATCAGGAAGTACTTACATAGACATATAAACATATTGCAAGGATTAAGATCCACTAACAGGTCCAATAATAAGAAAATTTGCAACAAGACCAAAAGTGGCTAAAATAAACAGCATATGTACTACAATTTGAAAGCAACCACAAAAATCACTAATGCATCTTGGACAACAATGGATCTAATTTAGGGTGATCAGTTCTTAAGTATTCTTACTAGAGCTAATTTGCTTAAGACTCTCCCAGTAATTTTCCTCGGAATCCTAATATTCACAGTTGAGAAATTAAAGCTCTAATTGTAGCAATGTAGCATCAAAACCGGAAACCTTAAAAAGAAAAAGGATAAAAACTGCAATTGCTCAATGGAGCAACTGATTGAATTGATGACAAGAATCACAAGATAGTTGTTTTATTGTCTCTACAAAAAATGCCTATGTTACTCGGACTTTCATTTCACCTCACGTTCCCGTGTCGGACCCTCAACACTCAGACATGGGTGTGACACCCGGACACTTCATTTTTAGTTCAAAACCATGGAATTTTTTCACAAAATAGCCGAGTTGGACACTTGGACACGTACTCGTGTCGGACATGGGTACCCGAGTCCAAGTAACATACTAAAATGCTATTAAGCCAGAAAGATCCAAATCAAAGCTCTATTTACCTAGTCGAGCTACCAGCCTTTTGCAATCCTGATCTCAAAAATCTGAACAAAGAAACAAATTTTTGTAATCAACAAAAAACAATACAGCCCTTCAACAGCTAAAAGAACAATATGTTACAGAGGCAAACAAGTTTACCGGTCACTGAAAAGTTTAAGTGAGCCTGATATCAGAATACGAGCATTGTTTCGTGCCTAACAAAAACAAATGAAAAACAACTATTAATGTTCATGACAAATTTTCGAGCACAATTTGCAATAACTAGCCTTTGCTTACAATGTTTATCTATTAGGAAAATCAGAAGAAACAAGAGCAGTAAAATACCTGCACCACTGATACCAATGATATTCTGGGTCCAGTAAATGTTGGGGCACTTGATAACTTGGACAAAGGATTAGCCAAATAGGCAGATGGTGAAGCGGAAAGAACTTGCACCACCTATCAGAGTTGCAGAGACACGATAAAATAAGACAATAACTCGAAACATAATCGATTTATGATCAAATGCCAAACACATATTACACCATTACAAGGTCAATACAGAATTACTTACATGGCTGTTAGAAGGATTTACTGAATGACCAGTTCCTTGGAAAAGTACTGCAGCCTGGAGCATATTCATGTTAGAATCACCTACCACTCATCAATAAAATTAACTCCAGAATTCCAGATCACTTATGAAAGCAAAATTTATACATAGATATAGTTTAAAGCAAACATAAACTATAAGCAACAATTCTGAAAAAACTTCGGCAGGAGACCCAGACAGAACATACATGTTAATTACTGGAAATTACTGTTAGTCATTATTTAAGTAGAAACCAAAGAAGCAATGCACCATAACACGGAATAATCAAATTTAGCTCATGTATCCGACCCCACTAATGGGATTAAAGCTTTGATTGATTGACTGACTGTTAGTCATTATTTAAGTAGAAACCAAAGAAGCAATGCACCATAATAAGACGCATACATTACCCACATGAATAGAGATATAGGCTGCACAAGCATTTACAGCCACCTCAAATCACTAAATGCATACATCATAGATTCTTCGTAATGTTAAATAGATTAACAATAACGGATAGACTTGCCTCAATTTTCTTGCTCCCTAATATGACATCTGATCCAATAAATTCATTACTGGCAATCAGTGTATGGTCACCTTCAAATTCTGACAATGCATAGCTTGTGTGGTCAATAACCATCGCTGCAGGGTCCTACAGCCATACAGAAATCAAATCAGGAAGAAAGTGATAACTTGCTTGAAAAACAAAAACACAGCACCAAAGATATGCGCACTGACTTCTTTATAAGGTCACACAGATAACAGACAGTTCGTCAACTACATACATGATAAAATGGTAAAAGAAAAACGTAAAATCGAGGTCATACTCATACTAAATCATTTGCAAAAAAGGATCATTTGGCATTTCCGTTGAGAAGAAAAGAATACTGAATGATTCGCAGAATTCATACTATGTTTACTCATTCTCTTTTCCTTGCATATACACAGAACTAACTACACGAGTTGAAATAACACTGATTCGCTGAACTCATAGTATGTTTACTCATTCTCTTTTTCACTCGAATAAACAGAACTAACTATACGAATTTAAAACACTATCCAAACTGTCTAAGGCCGCGACAAGACAAATGCACCATACTACATCTATGCAAAACAAAACGAACAATACACGGATCATAGAAATGTAGATGAAGATTGCAATTGATAAAAGAAATTATGATTAAAGATCATAAAATTGGTTCAACTAACAGCCAAATGTGACCATTTCAAAATACTAAAAGCTAATTTCACACTTACAGCAGGTGATTAAAACAGATTTATCAGGAAAAATGGAAATTAATTAAGAAAATAAGCTCACATCATCGAATTCAACACCACATTCTGTCGCAATTTCGCGAATCAAATCAGACGAATTCACATCAACAGCAACAATCAAATCACGTCCAGAATCAACAAATTCAAGCACCGCTGCCTGATTAATCGAACCGCCAAAACCTTCACCCAAAAAAAAACACACACACACACAAAATCAACCAAAAATCCAAAAAAAAAATCACAAAAATTCCAAAACAAAATCAAAAGTTGAAGAGGGGATTACGATCGATGTAAGGAGCGAAGATGATGAGACCATCGTACAAAAACTGTCCGTAACGCTGCAAAGCAAGTTTAGGATCATCTGCGAGCTTGAAATCGAGCTGATAATTTCGCGAAAGAAGAGAATCGAAGAACAAAGAGTGAGAAGATTTAATGGCGAAATCATCGAGAAGAACTAGAATTCGACGATTTGTAGGATTTTCTGGGGAGAATGAGAGAGAATGACTTAGATTGAGAAGAAGAATTGTTAGGAGTGTGAGTATTTTCGCCATTTTTGGAGCTCCAAAAAAAGGGTTTTAGGATCTCACGAATATAGACTCTAGTTATTGTGGACTAGTGGTAAACGTTTACTTTTCCTCACAATTTTATTTATTTATTTATAATTTAAATCTTTTTCTTTTGAAGAATGAAGTTTTAGGGTAAGTTTATTAGGATGAATCTAATAATATCCAACTTAACTAGTTCGTATATTTTTCTTCACATATAAATCATAAAATATAGTCAAATGAAAGTGTGTGAATAGTACTAAATTCAAAACGTACCAAGTACTAGTAATAAAAATCACTGAAAGTAATATATTTGTTTGTTTGTTTGTTTATTTATTTATTATTTATTTATTTATGGTTTATTTATTACAAAAAGAATGTAACTTATCATTGTAGAGATTGTAGCTTAAATCATGTATCTTGAAAATTTATGATGTGGCAACCCAAAGCTTTGCTACATGTACATTAGTACATGTAGCTAGTCATTGTGGATGCTCTTATTATTTAGACTCTTACTAGATTTTCTCTACGTTAACACATTATCTCAAAACTCATTCCAGATCCACCTATCTCTATATCTATTTCTTTTATAAAAATCAACAATTCACGCTTTATAATTGAATATAAAACATAATCAAAAGATACTAGAGATGGTAATTTAATAACGATTGGTCTTGTGTTTAAGCTTTATGATAAACATTTTAATTGCCATTATTTTTATTTTTCTTACAAGACATTTTTATTGCCATTAAAACATACGAGTATTGTTTATAGGGGTGTAAATGAACCGAGCCGACCAATAAACTACTCGGGTTCGAGCTCGGTTGAAGCTCGTTCATGTTCATTCATTTAATAATTGAGCCGAGCTTGAACAAAATTTGAAGCTCGTTTAATAAATGAACTTGAACATGAACATATATATGCTCGTTCAGGTAAGTTTATGAACAACTCGTTTATTTATGTTCACGAACTAGTCGTTTATTTATGTTCACGAACTACTAGTTAATTTATGTTCATGAAAAAGCTCGTTTTATTACTGAATTATATATATAGTATCTTAATATATGATTACCAAAGACGCAAAGTGTTTTAAGTGAAATATAGCTTGATCGATAATAACTTTATTTATTAATTATTGATGTTACAATTGTTAATTTAATTTTTATGATTATAATTAGAATTTCATTATTATGCAAATTTTGAGATTTTCGAATGTCAAAATTAGTACAAAGCTCGTTTATTATTAAGCTCGTTTAGGAAAATTGCTCATTTATGAAAAATACTCGTATAGTAAACGAGCCGTTCGTGAACATATAGTTTACTAAATGAGCCAAGCTTGAACAAATTTTTGAGCTCGCTTGAAAGCTCAGGCTCGTGCTCGGGCTCGCCTAAATTAAATGAGCTTGAACATGAACAAGGTAGTACTCGGCTCGGCTCGGCTCATTTACACCCCTAAATTTGTTTATAATACTTGATGGATGGTGTCGCACACAAAGATGATGTTGCATACAACTAATACATGTAAGGGTGTCACGTGATACATATTTTATTTTAGGAATGCTTTAGTATGTAATAACTAGTGTGTGACCTGAGCTTTGCTTTGGATAATTTTGAATATTTTTTTTATTAACGTGGGTAAATAAGAATACAATGATAACAATAACTTATGTTTGTTGGAATTTTTTGGTTTTTATTCTACATTCTAATATATGTATCATGTAAGTATTTATACATACATGTAGATTAATAGAACATGATTTAATTCTAGTTAAGATGGTAATACATGTGGCTTCCACTAAATGGAGTATGGGGTTCAAATATCTTTTTATATATTTAACGAGGTGACATGATGCTAAAGGTTGTTAAATGATGATGTGGCGTCATACTGGTGTAAGGATACACGTGGCACATACACAAATTCATAAACGCCTTTTAATAGATAGTATATATTTCGTGTTTTAGATGAAAGTGATAAATATAACATTCCTAAATTAATGTAAGATGGGTCAATATCTTAGAGAATCAAATGAGATTATTGATTAATTATAAAATGTGTTTCCTTCAAAATATATATATATATATATATATATATATATATATATATATATATATAATGTGTTGATTTATATCTATCTATTACAAATATGATTTAAATAAGACTAAGTTTTGTGTATAACTGATGTATATTAATTTTATTGTATAACATTTTATGGTAACTTTAACCACTTAAAAGGTAACTTTTAATTTGTCGTTGGTTTGAATTTTATTTGAATGTGTAATTTCTTATAGATACGTGATTACATAATATAAAGACTAATATGATTAATCTAATACATTATAAAATAAAATTTATTAATAGAAAAGATATTTTCGTATACACATAGGTAAGACATTTTCAAATTTTTCCAAACTAAATCAATTTATCATCTTTAAAAAGATATATGATTTCGTAATCTATCTGCTAGCCATTAGGAATGGATATCCCAGTAATCCCAATATATTTCTATTATCCTCTCAAAACACATAATACAACTAAGAAAGCATTTAGAAATCTTAGTTGTTATACAATCTAAGCAAGCACAAGAAAATTAAAAACATCATAGCTGCTCTGATGTTCTGATCCTGAGTCAAAACTCACAAGCACTACGGAGTACTTATTACACGAAGTCACTAAAGCATATGAACTCATCTTCTTCGTCATGACCATCAAATCACAAATGCACAATCATGCTTATGGGCACGCAGATGAAATTGTTGACACACTAATCGATCACCATCGTGTCCCTGCACCAAGAAGAAAAGAATATAATTAATCAATTTGAAAATGTACAGAATATAATTGTTACAGGAATAATCATTACTAATTAGTTAGGGAAATGAAGTAGTTAATAAATTACCTCCTCGAATTCTCCTTCGTGTTGTAATCGAGTTCCAAGGAGCTTGTTTTTTATTGATGATAGCTTTGCAGAAACAATACTCATGTCTAACCTTTCTGCTGGGACCTCATTCGAACAGGAAAGTGCTATTTCGAGTATTGAAGTCAGGGCCTCCAACAACAAGTTGCTACCCGTAGAGTCTATGTCTTCAAGAAGGACATGATCCAGGATCTCGACAACATCTCCGGCCAAAGCTTCTCTGACGAAGCCATGTAAGGTTAGCCCCCCTTTAAACATGTCATCAATAGGCCTCTTCCCTGTAATCCTTTCTAATAATAGAATCCCAAAGCTGTAGACATCGCCACTAGTGGATACTTCATTACCCACACCATACTCTGCATGTATAGTGCCTCCAAAGTTATTATGAAAATAATTAACATATACGGAGTAACTTATATGCTAAAAACATGTTGTACAAATAAGTAAAATATAATAAATACAGAATTTATATAGTTTTGAATACAGCTAGGGATAGGAGCATTAGTTGGTTACCTGGAGGAGCGTAACCAATAGTACCTCTAACTCCAATAGAGCTAGACTGATCGGGATTAGAGTCATCATTGATGCCTTTCGAGAGGAACTTAGCAAGGCCAAAGTCACCGACATGAGCTACCATTTCATCATCAAGGAGAACATTGCTTGGCTTGAGGTCACAGTGAACTATGGAGGCACCACAATGGTTATGAAGATAATCCAAAGAAAATGCAATATCAAGTCTTTGGCGAAGACTCAAGTGTCTTGAGCTACTATATTCTTCCTCAGCCGCTAATTTGGAGGATGTAACCAATCATCCAAACTTCCATTGGCCATGTACTAATAAACTAACGCTTTGAAATCTCTGCCTTGATAATCCACACTTGAGCAAGCTGTTACAACTTTGAGAAGATTCCGGTGTCTGATGTTACGAAGAACTCCACATTCAGCTATGAAACTCTTGAAAGCACCGTGATTTTCAAGCTTAAACACCTTGATGGCTACTGTTGATTGAAGCTCTTCAAGCACTCCCTTGTATACAGCACCAAAGGTACCACTGCCAATCAAATTGTCCAAAGAAAACCCATTTGTGGCTTTAAGAAGCATTTGGTAAGACAAATTTGGAAAAATTTCCGAATCATCAGAAGCCGTTGGTTTCTTAGTCCTCTTTTTTTGCCAGAAAATATATAATAACACAAGAAAAACAAGTATCAATACAACTCCTAAAAACGCTGAAAGAATTGCAATTGTCAATACTTTTTTCCGGTGCTTCAATCTTCTTTTCTGGTTGTTGATGCTATAGTTGCAAAGAGGCAACTTTAACGCTGGTATGCCTCCGCAAAGCTTGTTGTTTCCCCTTACGTAAACTCCGCTTGCATTATTGAAGACTCCATCAATAGGTACTTCACCTTCAAGGTTATTGTTTGACAAATCAAGGCTTTGTAACTTGAGTCTCCGTAAAAATTGTGGGATTTTGCCAGAAAAATTGTTATATGACAAATTTAACTCAGCTAGACTCTTCAATGCCAATGAATCAGGAATGGTGCCTTGGAAATAGTTTCCTCCCATGTATAGGTACTCTAACGACATGCAGCTGCCAATAGAGCTTGGTATTTGGCCTGATAGCATGTTACGAGAAACATCAAGCCAGTCAAGATTCTTCAGTTTCCCAACTTCTTCAGGGAGTGACCCAGTTAGATGGTTCCCTGATATGTTGAGTCCAACGGACAAGGAAGAGAGGCTAAAAATTTCAGGGGGTATACTACCGCTAAGAAAGTTATTATCAAGATATAATCCTATTAATGACCCACAATTTCCAAGAGTTGATGGTATTTGGCCTTTGAGATGATTATTGAATAAGGCAACACGAGACAACTTGGTTAAATTTCCTATTGAGGGTGGAATGACTCCGGATAATTGGTTACCAAATAGGTGTAAATCAGTGAGCTTTTGGAGCTTCCCTATCCCAGGGGGAACGGCCCCAGAAAGTGTGTTACTATTAACATCAAAAAGTTGCAAATCTGGTAAGTTTTCTATGCAATATGGAATTTTTCCTGTTAAGTAATTGTGGCTCATAAGTATCATATTAAGTGATGAAAAATTGCATACTATCTTAGGGAAAACTCCTTTGAAATTATTGAGACTTATCTCAAACAGCTGTAAACCGGTGGCATTGGCCAAGGAA